ATAACTTTGCAAACAAATCACTTTTGATAATAGCTTATTTTGACAAAATCAAGCCAAATTTGCTGACAACTATATATTGGGACAGCACAACAAGAAATTTGTTTAATACGGAGTTACATCACCTTTCACCTTAACAACTGCCTGAACTCTTAATGGCATTGTATTTACCAAAGATTGGCACATTTGAGGAGAAAAATTATCCCAAATTTCCTGCAGTTTTGTCCGCAAATCAAAAATTGTTCGTTGAGGGTGGTTTCTTAAATATTGCTTCATTTTATGCCACACAGTTTCTATAACATTGAGGTCCGGACTACTTGAAGGATGGGATAGAACTTTTATATTATTATTACCGAACCAATTTTTAGTTGATCTTGCTGAATGGTACGATACTCCATCTTGTTGGAAAATATAGTCTTCGTTTGGAAACAATTCTCGAGCACTAGGCAAAAGTGAGGTCTCAAGAATATGTTGATATTTTTGGGCGTTAACAGTGCCATCTTTAAAATTTAATTTGCCCAAACCTCTTGCTGACATGCAACCCCAAACCATAATCCCCTTAGGAAATTTAACAACCCTCTTTAAGCAATCTTTATGAAAGGGTTCTGGTTTATTTCGTATTATTCGTTTTCGATGATCTCCAACGCAAACATCAAATATAGACTCATCGCTAAATATGACCTTATTCCAATCATTTTGTGTCCACGATAATTTAGATTTTGCCCAATTGTAGCGATTTTTCTTTTGAATTTCTGTCAGTAGCGGTTTTTCTTTGGCCTAAATAAGAATTTGTATCAATAATCTTCAGGTAATTGATTATCCACACAAAAGTTTATCTTGTAAAACCCCAGACCGCATTTGTGGATATATTTTCGTCAACATTCTCTTGATATATTTAAACCACTTACAGTATTCCATTTAACTGTTACTTCGCGAAGAGTATATACTTCTTCACGCAGACTTGCAAATTTTTACTAAATTTCGTAAATCTCTCTGAGATACAACTTTTGGCTTTCTCTAACTTTTACCTCTAACGTCTACATTGGCAGATTCGCCGTATTTTTTTATTATATTAAAGACCGTGGTTTTTGGAATACTTAAATCATCAGAAATTTTTCGAATTGTTTTTCCCGTAGTGTATTGACGATTGATAATTTCACGTAATTTTTGATTTGTAGCTTTTCCACGGACCATTACTTTGGATTAAATTAACAAAATTGAAAATTAAAAAATTTAAAATTTCTTACAGTAAACCTCACTACTCAAAGTATCGAGTCACTTACAAGCTGTCAATGCTGAAGTAAACAGTTTGCGACATTTGTGACGTTTATAGCAAAGCCGCCTATGATAATATTAATTATTTAAAAATACTTGACCCAACATTTAGTTGTCAGCAAATTTGTCCTTTTATGAACAAAATCCGCTACTGTAAATATGGATTGATTTACAAATTCATAAAAATATTGTCAAGTTGTTTAGGATATATGGCTATGTTTATATCTAAAAAATTAAACAAATATTTTTCAGTCATTTTGAAAAACCAGGGCAATAATTCCATAATATGACCTTGTCCCAACATATAGTTGTTAGGGCTCGTAAGTGCAAATATTTTCAGGGCTGGTCGATCTCGATAAAAGAAACATATTTTCTCTTTACTGTTCTTCAAATAACTCCAAAATAACCGAGTTATTTTACTTTGAAAATTTAAAATAAAAAATGATTTTTGGTTAAATTTTGAGAACTACTGGATCTTTTCTGGGTTTTCTTTTTTGTAAATTTAATCTACCACCTATGTTGCCATAGTAAAATTTTTTGCCATTTTTAAACACAAATGATTTCAATAAATAGAAAAAAATAGTTCTTCGCAACTTTGTTGGTTCTCCGGGACAGTGTCCAGGATGTGGCAACACTGTCTTCCATCCTCCTCTCCAACTTATGTCACGTCCAGGTCCTAATTCAGCGCCGAATGCAAATTTAATGTGTACACGAATTTGGGGAGAACGCGTATTTCCGTGGAGGACAAAAAAACAAGTGAGAGAGGGTGGAGAAAATTTAGACCATCAAACATCTAGACGAGGTGTTTAGTAATGAGAATGGGTAAAGAATACTGTATACACGTAATGCCCATAAACGAGCTGGAATAGAATTTGTGTTCTTAGCACTGGCGCATCTAGAGATTGAGTCTGGGAGGGGTAGTGTAAATATTCAAAAAAGTACTAAATTTGAATTAAATTTCTGCTGGAAGGTATTGTAACTGTGGTAAAAATCTACGTGGATTGGTTTGGATATTCTGTTTTAATTTGTATTATTAACTTTTTTGTAACAATTTTATTTTATACCAAATTTTATCTTATTAATTAATTTCTTTCTGGGAGGGGTAATTGTATAGGGATTGTTTCTCTCTACAATTTCCTGTTTCACAATCTACCCTTTATGTCCGGGAAGGGTTCATAGTTTCATAGTTGTCGATTTTTGAAAGAAATCAGTACATGTATATTATTTCGTATATTATTCATTTTATTGATTTTATGGAAAGTACTGTTCATTAAAATGTTGTATCATATGTTATAGGGCTTGTTTCTCTCTACAATTTCCTGTTGTACAATGTACCGTTTGTGTCGGGGAAGGGATCATAGTTTCATTGTTGTCGATTTTCGAAAGAAATCAGTACATGTATATTATTTCGTATATTTTTCATTTTATTGATTTTATGGAAAGCACTGTTCATTAAAATGTTGTATCCTCCGTTATAGGGCTAGTTTCTCTCTACAATTTCCTGTCTCACAATGTACCGTTTGTGTCCGAGAAGGGTTCATAGTTGTCGATTTTCGAAAGTAATAATTAAAATAAATTAATTTCTTTCTGGGAGGGGTAATTACCCCCATTACCCCTCCTGTATATGCGCCCCTGGTTGTTAGACGCCATTTTTTTGGAGACAACGTATGTGTCACCGTCGACAATTTTAGCGATTTTTAATAACTTTTTGTGCGTAGTCATTGTTTAGTTTAGTGACCTTTGTATAAACTTTATTTCAATGGTAATTTGTTCAGTTTTCAAGTGTAAAAGCCGCAACGATAAGAAAGAGGCAGGAGTTACGTTTTCATAGCCAAATAAACAGTCTATTCCACCTTTTTAGCGTTTTCTCATTGAATCTGGTAATTATTATATTAATAAATTCTGTTATATGTATAAATATATTAAGTTCTATTACACAGAGTGTTTCAAAAAACATGTGCCATATTTCGTGGGGAGATTCCTCACGTAAAAATAAGATTTATTTTTCATATCAACATAGGTCCGATTCTGCTTTGTTTCGTAGCTACAGGGTGTTAAAATCTTAATAATCTTTCGATTTATTATAATTTTCTTCTAAGTACTTTTAGTGATTAGAATGACATTTTGAGGGTAAAACTTACTATAAGTGCTAAAAAAGTCTCCATAAATTGATCAGGGACGTACATATGGGTTATCACTAGAATATTTCTCAAAAAAAAACATGTGCGCCACTGACTTTTTTTTTTCTTTTAATATCAAAACTGTGTAGGCTGTTTAATGCCAATTAAAAGTTATTTCTTGATATTTTGTCGAATTCGGCCTCCTTGATAAAATAAACGCAATTCTATTAATCACAATTAATAAAATTCAAATAAAAATAAAATTAATAAACTATACAGGGTGGCGCATCTCATTCGCCTCTGTTGATTATACGAAAACGGAAAGATGTAGAAACAAAATTTCTTGTGGGTATATGTAGAGGGGCAATGTGCAAAATTTAAAATTATTTTCAAATGTACAGGATGTGTCAGAACTAAGATACATACCAAAGTTATATTTTTTCTTATGGAACACCCGGTATTTTTTTTCTGGATTCTTGGGCATAAAATAAGGTATTTATTATAAGGGTTTAAAATGTTTAAATGCTTGGTTTTTGAGATATTTAAATATATTTAAATATGCATGCTATAATAAAAAGTTTGTCAACACCCTGTACATTAATTTTCAGAGTTAATTCTTGTGCAAACCTTGAAGCCAGCGAAATAAACTTTAGTAAAAAATTTTATTGCTTCTTTAAATGTATACAGGGGTATCAAAAATTGCTTGTCTATTTTAAATATTTATTTTACATAAAAACTTCGTTATTTCAAATACAACAGTATGTATTTTTTAAAATAAGTCGAAGCAGATTTAAGTGCTCTTTCAAACTATATTAGGATTTCCTATACCTATCTGGCTCAGATTTTGTGATTTTTCAATAAAATGGCAATCAAGATGGCTGGTGGCGCCATGGCAATTTGCTAGTGACAGTTAGTAGCTATTTTCAAAATCGACATTAGTTATGGATTTGCTGCTCTTTTGTAGAGTGTATTTTATCATGAAAAATAAAGAAGTAATTCTTTGATTTATATTACGATGACTTGAAGATATATTGGATTTTCTATAAAATACCAATTAAAGCAAATTCATTTTTTTTTTCACCTACAACGACAGGTTTCAGCCTAATAGGTTTTTCATACCACACTATCAGCTCTGCGAAATAGGAAAAGTAGTTTTTCAAAGGAACGCTTCTCAAAAAAAATCCTATTTGGATATCTTTGAGCATAAACCCTTCAGGCCAACCAAGCTATTGGAAAAAATCGATATAACACCGACCCTTCTACATAAGGTTTCCATAAAGGCTTTTGGAAATTCCGGACAAGTGTCTATAGTTGTTCTACTTATAAATCTACTTATAAGCCCAACATATAATTTGTTTTGTACTGTTTACTAACGTATCTGAAGTGTGAGATTACATTTTAACAAGATGTTCCATTGGTTATGTCCGTTCTCTTTTAACAATTTATCATTATATATGTTTCACTCAAAATTTTCCAAGTATTTTGGCTATCTCGATTGTTTTTCGTTTTTTGTGGTTCCTGTTGTATCTTCTAAATGTTGGAGATAACAACAAATCCAAGTTCAATTGATTTTGATAAGCTAATTGCTCGGTTACCTATAAAAGGAACCAACAATGTAAACAGATTAGTTTCAAAAACATTAGTTACTCTGTTAAATAAGAACAAAAAAAAACCTATAAGAAAAAATGGCATTTAAACCAACTAGTTTTATGATTATTGGATTTCTCTTGGCAGTGTCTTGTATTCTGAGCATCCGAGCAGTCCCGAGTAAGTAATAAACAGTTTAAAATCAAAAGGATTCATTGAAAATATACTGGTCCTGTACGAAAAATGATCAGCTAAAAAATTTTCTCGATTTCGATATTTTTCAGCGAAGTGTAGCTAAATTATTTGACTTTTTAGCCTCATTTTACTAAAAATGTTAAAGTCGTCATCTGTCTATTAAACGAAGAAAAACAAAATGTTGATATTTTGACGAAAGTTTGAAACACCCTGTGGAATATTTTAACAAAATAATAAACCTAAAGTGCACTTAGTTATCAAGGTGAATCTCTTCTCAATAGTTTGGTTTTTGATTTATCTCAATAATTGTTTTATTTTTATTGGAGTTAACCGCTTTTGAAGATTATAGTAACAACCAATAACAATCTTAGCATTAAAAGCATGCTTTTGCTTTTGGTCCACTTCAACACACATTTATAAAATAGTGTTTATAGTTTTGTAATGTCACTGTCCTTACATTGAAGTTCTGACCCTGGATAAGGCTCAGCAGGTAGGCGGTGTCTTTCCCCTTGCTCCTCGGCAAAAAGACCGTGATGATCCCTTTAGGGATGTTTTCTCCCTTCACTGCTACCAGTTCCGACCCCTGCCAATTTTTAAGCTTAAGTGCAATTTCCACCAACCAATTCGCTGATTCTTGAGATACACAGTCTATGAGGATCATGCCCACCCAAAAGTGTATCCCCGCAAAACGCAACTGACCCACATTTTGTAGATCGTTGTGTTGCGATCTGATCGTCACTACTTCGTCCAGTATAGCCTCTTCTAGAGACGTTTGCTGGTCGGTGGTCAGAGCAACCTCTGGGAAATCATTGGCAGAACCGCCATTTTCACTTGTCCAGTATTAGCGGCAAAGCTGGTGATACGTCCCTGCTTGTCTCCCGGTGTTGGATGGCTTTCCATCCTGGCTTTTTTCTCTCCCTGCCGGAGAAGAGGTGAGAGGTTCTCGCTACCTCTCTTGCCCTTTGATGGAGATGATGAGTGTTTTCGCTTTTGCTTCTTCTGGAGCAGTCGGAGTCCTTCGTGGAGCAGTCGGAGGTATCTCCATGCTTCTGCTCCGTTAAGACCTACTCTCAGAGGATCGTCTAGCCCGCCTGGTTGACCCAGGCAGGGTAGACGAAACGGCAGCTTGTGTCGCTTATTGGGTCTAAAGGTACACTCCCGATCCTTACTAGAGGAGGTGGTAGCTTGTGTGCTACTTGTGGAAGCTGGCCTCACGCAAATGTCAGCCGCCTCTCCTGTAGTTCCCTTTGGGATTGGTCCCTTGAAACTTTCATTCATAATGTTCCCACTGTTACTAGGGGGTTTCCCCACAGCTTTACCGGTGGTGTTTTTATGATTTTTCGATCTCATAGTGTTCCCACGAGCAGCTAGGGATAGTCGGTCCACTTCTACGGAGCCCCGCATGTAGAAGTAAGGGGTAAATACAATGAGGTGCCCCCTGATGCCCTTTGACCTGGTCCCGCCATCGTAGGATTTAGGTTTTTGGTGAGGTTGTCTCCTCTTGGTCCAGACGGTTAAGCCAAGACCCCCCCACACCCTCTACCCGCGAGACATGACCACAGTCAGTAGAGAGTGCCTGATATGACGGACAGGGGTAGCCCCGTCCGGCATCGTTATATGTCTTGGTGCTATTCCCTGGCCACGACGAGTGAGATGCGCGTTAGAGCAAGCCTAGCGCTAGGGGGGATTCACCCCAGAACCTGACCAGGAGCTTCCACCAACGACAAGGTCTTGCATCTCCTAGGGGAAGCGGGCTGACTAACTGGAATATAAATTTCCCGCTGGGGATTCAGGTGGTAGCTCTGCTGTAAAAAATGTCAAGTTGCCGCATTTATTTATTTATTTCCTAACATTATCATTCGTTTTGACACTTTAGTTTTGTATTACGAGTTTTTGGTTTAAATGAATAATGAGTTGTGCTTAAGCTAAAAAAATTTTACTAGCAGACCTTGCAGTCTAACACTGTTCTTTTTAGAACCTCTTTTAGTGCGAAGTGTACAAGATAGCTTAATAGCCGTTGAAAAAAACTCATCGCAACCTTATTAGAATATTTTGAACGGGAAAGAGGTAGTAATCGCCCTTTACGTCCCGAAGTGCTGTTAAGGAGGAGAGTTTTTTTATGTAAATAGTAACTGTTTATACAGGGTGTCCCAGAAATAAGTGCAAATATTTTAAGGGGTGGTAGATCTCGATAAAAGAAAGATATTTTCTCTTTATCGTTTTTCAAATAAGTCCAAAATAACGGAGTTATTTTACTTTGAAAATTTCAAAAAAAATGATTTTTTGCTAAAATTTTGAGAACCACTGGATCTTCCTGGATTTTCTTTCTTGTAAATTTAATCTAATACCTATGTTGCCATATTATCAAGAAATTATATTTTTTAACTAAAAGCTAAAAAAAAATCCAAAAAATTTTTCAAAAAATTTCGAATTTTCAAAATTTTTTAAAAAAGTTGTATTATAAATGTTCCGAGAAAATGTCAATAAAAAACTCATTAGCGACTGTGTTCTGGAGATCCAAACATATTACCGGTTAAAAATAAAAGTCTGTGAATTTTGGACTCGACTGTACTAAACCTGTACCTAAATGATTTATTTTTTAAGAGTTCGTATTGAGTTTACCAACGCTTTATATTTTAATGTTTTTTTTAACAGTTTTCGCAAAAAAAAACTCATAGGCGTGTTTCTGGGGTTGAACTATTATACTACCAGTTAAAATATTTGCACTTATTTCTGGGACACCCTGTATAATTATAATTAATTTATTTTTGTTTTCTAAAATATTTTGATTAAAAGAAAATATGTAAAAGTGGGTAACGTTGTGCCGGTCAAGCTTAATCACGTGACTGAAAGTTTATTTCGTATGATCTATAGCTACGCATTGTTTAAAAAATGATGAAAATAGGTCCACTAGAACAAAATGTATTGATCTTTAAAATCCGAGTTAAATAATCGAGTAATCCATGAAAATTTCAACTGTCAAATACCTTTAAAATTTTCTTTATTATCACTGGTTTAAGTTTATTACAAATAAAATTGATATTGATATCAATTGTAGCTTGTCCCTCTCATGAAGATGGTACCCCGACATACCTAGAAGACCCTACAGATTGTTCATATTTCTACGAATGTAGTAACGGAAAGGCCCTCAGATTCCAGTGCGCAACCGGTACTTATTACGACACTAGCATAGACCGCTGCAATCGCGCCACCGAAGTCGACTGTGGTACCAGATCAACAACAGCCAGTGATGCCACTACAAGTCCTTCCTTTTAGACCTTCAGCGTGAACTACATCTTATTAAAAATCTTTAAATAAAATTTTTAAAATCTAAAAGCACTGTTTTTTTTATCTTAGTGTTATAATGACTCCCAAAACAAAAAAAAGTAATATCTTATATCATAGAATTTCAGTAGAAAATAAAATAAACCTCAATAATTACTGCAATAAATCTTTTTCTGACATTTTTGAACTAGCTGGCCTATATTGTGTAAAAAAAATGAAACGAATATCGCAAACCAAAAACCTAATATAGAGCTTTTTGGAAGCATAGGTCACCCTGTTTATGATTAAAAAAGTCATTAAATAATTCTGTACGCTTAGCAACCGGTCCCAACTATTGAGTGTAAAGGTACGTCCATGTGTGCACCAGTGCACCGGCTTTCCGCTTTCGGGCGCTCGGCTTACTTCGCGCAGCGCTTTGTGAAGCTGCGCCATTGAAGCACGTAGGAGACTAGAAGCACAGAATATCTAGCTACGCAAGCTTGCGTAGCTTGCGTAGCTAGATATTCTGTGCTAGAAGCTAGGAAGCCGCACTCCAATTTTGCTCCTTTGCTTCCGCGCATGCGCATGAGTTATACAAAATCGATCGGGTATTTCGCGTGCTATAAATACAAAAAACTCACACCAAAGACTAACCAACTGTTACGCTGCTGCCTACTAACCAGCTGTTACCAACAACTCTAAATAAATAAAAAAATACAAACAGTTTTAAAAAATAAAAACAGCTGTAAAAAAATAAAAAAGTTATATGTCTACCGAGGTTCGATCCACCGTCCTGTTGCACAAAAAGCGGCAGCCTCAACCACGGAGCTACACGCTGCTTTCGTAACCGAACTACACACACCGGAAAAATCTAGGGATATCATTTTATTAAAGTTAAAAATAAATGTTTTGAATAAACAACCACATATTTGTAGGCCGATTCTTTCCACTTCGATTGAAACGAAGTAGTCACACTAGTTATTTCTAAATTTGGGATATTTGCAGAAGTTTTTGTGCATTTTTTGTCAAATGTATAAAAAGCACCTAGCATCAATTGTTCGAATTTAACAGAGACGAAATGCTAAGGGCCATGGGTATGCTCGAAGCTGGAATGCGCCAAATCGACGTAGCTAGAGCATTAAATACAACGCAAAGTGTAATATCGCGATTAAGTGCACGCTACCGTGATAGTGGTGATGTTGCTGAAAGGCACACAGGGCGACATCGCATTACTAGCCCTCAGCAAGATAATTTTTTACAATTAAATGCTCGACGCCGACCGACTCTTATAGCACCAGAGCTTAGTTTAATTCTCCAGGAAACACATAATGTAACCGTTAGTCCTGACACTGTTCGCAATAGATTAAGAGAGGTCAACTTAAGAAGCAGACGCCCCTGGAGAGCTCAACCCTTAACGAGAGGAAATCGAGAGGTACGATATTTGTGGGCTCAAGATCATGTTTAGTGGCCGAATGAACAATGGGCCAATGTTCTCTTCACGGATGAGTCACGCTTTGAAATTCATCCGGATTCGAGAAGGCTTAGGGTATGGAGAGAACCGGGACATCTTATTCGGTTGGATCATGTTCAGGAAGTGCACCCTTAACAAGATGGAACAGTTATGGTCTGGGGAGGAGTCCAGTTAGGCCGAAAAACCGATCTCGTTTTTCTTGAAAGGTTTCTAACAGGAATCACATATCGTGATTTAATTCTTGAGCCTGTCGTGTTACCATATGCCAATGATTTTGGGAGAAACTTCATTCTCATGCATGACAATGCACGGCCTCATATAGCCAGAGTGGTAAGTGAGTTTACCAATGCTCATCAATTATACATCTTACCTTGGCCGGCTCAATCTCCTGACCGCAACCCCATCGAACACGTATGGGACGCGGTCCAAAGAAGAATTTTGAGAATGGGTATGCCTCGTGAAACTCGTAGGGATCTGGTTCGGGCCGTGAATGCAGCGTGGCAGGCTGTACCTCAAGAAGAGATCGACAACCTGATCAGGAGCATGGAGAGACGATGTAGGGCTCTAATGAACAGTAGAGGAGGCCATATCCTTTATTAAGTAAAAATGGTTTTATCCTTTTTTTTAATTCACAGTTTAGAATAAAAAAAATGTGTGTATTTTTTTGAGTTCAATAAAAATCAAGGTAAATTTGAAAAATTCGGTAAATTTCGCATTTTTATTTCCAATACGTCCTGTAAACTATTTGTTTATTTTAATTTTATTATATTAGAAATGCAAATAATAAAATTACTGACGATGGCTTCATAAAATTGTAGACTTTTCCGGTGTGTGTATATTGAAGTATTACTTCGCGCTCTGGCATTTCAATGCATGCGTGAAACAAAGGAGCAAAAGTGGAGTGCGGCTCTCTAGCTTCTATAACGTAGGGGCCGTCAACAACCGCTTACAGGGAGCGGGAATATCATTTGGCATCATGGAACCATCCCGTGGGGATCTATTATTTCTTTTTATTAGCTAGTGATAATGTTTATACTAAACTGACACAAAAAAGTACTACTCGCGTTCATGAAATTAATCTATTTCATTTTGAATTTGGTAAATATCACACGTTATATTCACAACTCACCGCTCACAATCAAAAATTTTACGAATATTTTCACATGGAGAAAGAAACGTTGAAGTATAATTCAAACAAAATTGAAAATCGTTTAAAAAATGCTGCAATTTTCAAAATAAATTGATGTACACAAAATGGTTGTGATTAAAATCGATTAATTTTTAATAATTTCGTAAGTAAATAGCTTGAACTGTGCTAAAGCATAACCTTAAGCCCACGGCTACACAGAAAGCGCTTTTAGCGTTTTGCGTTTTAGGCGTCTCAAGCGCTTTTTGCGATTTTACCTTTTTAAGCGTTTTTTTCGATTTGTGTCCGTTAAAAACAGGCAAAAGACGCGGCAGGTCTGCAGTTTCTATCAAGATGTCAATTAGTAACGTCGCAAGCTCGTGGATTCTCGGCCCGTTCAACAATCAATCCTGCGAGAAAGAGATAGGCGAGATCGGCGCGGTTAGCGTTGAAGAGACGAAGAAAAAAGATGCTGGAATTGACTTGTGGACGGGCCGGGGCATATATTCGGCGACAAACACAATCTACTGCTGGTGCATTTATTTAACGAATTTTAGTTTATATGTGTATAGTTTTTTTATGTTGTAGATACCTGTTGTAATTATAATATAATATAATAAATAATTATATGTAATTATATAATAGAATAGTAACTATATTACTAGTTGCTAACGCAATTTTAGGACATGATTTATGACACTTTTTGGAGTGAAACTTCTTTACGCGCGCTAGGAGTAAAAATTCAAGGCCGTGACATACGAGCTAGCGAGACGGCCCTGACACACGAGCTAGTTGTAACGAAATGTTTAACGGCTTAGAAATACATAGTGACGCGACGTGTATTTGGGAGCAGTCCACGTGTTTATCAAAAATATTGATATTTTAATACAATTCATCAAAGAATCAAATTATTACGTGCAAAAAACCATTTGTTACACGTAAAAAAACTATTTTACGCGAATAAAACTGTTATACATAAAAAAATATTTTTTACGCGTATAAAACTATTTTGTTACTGACAGAAAACAATTTTTACGCGTATAAAACTATCTGTTACGTGTAAAAATCTATTTGTTACACGTAAAAAGCTATTTTTTACGCGTCAAAAACTTATTGTATCTGGTAAAAAATCTTTATTACGCCAAAAAAATATTACGTGTAAAAAACTATTTGCTCGACTATTTGTTACACGTAAAAAAATAATTTTTACGCGTCAAAAACTTATTGTTTCTGGAAAAAAAATGGAGTAGGGTATATTAAGTTCGGGGAGCGAGGGAGTTGAATTGGTTGCAAAAGAGGGATAGCGATGATGAAACTGTTGAGCGGATGAAGCGGGAAAGCGACAAAAAGAAACAATAATTCATTTCGGTAAAAGCGGGTAAAAGCAGTCTAAGCCGGTTATTTTTACCGCTAGTGTGTCGCAATAAAACAAGAAGCGGGAAGCCAGTGCACTATGGAGTACCCTAAGCTTTTTTCTGCTCAGTCAGTAGCTTTGTCACTCGAATCGCGACCAATGATACATTCGAAGATAAGGTTGAAATGGAGGTGTCCAGTTAAATCGGACATAGTCTAAGGTCGGAGAGAAGCTTTACAGGGGTGGATGTGTCCAGCAACTCTACGATAAATTTACTGGACGTCCGGAGATGGCAGTCCGATCCAGAATTATTCCTGGGAAGCCAGAATTAAGTCTGGAGATAAATTTATTTACGAGAGCCGAAACAAAAAATAAAGGGATGTGTATTTTTTGTTTATCCTTTTTTTAGCGTTTTTTTCTAATGAGACAATTATATTTAGTTATATTTGGTAAATTGCCAATATACAGGGTGGTTCGAATTGTAATCTGAAAACACTGAGCTCATCATTGACAAAAATTAGATATGTTGACTAGATAGTTATTAGACTTACTAATACGGGGTATTGATCTAGCTACGTCCAAACACCGGTTTTCGATAGATCAGCGAAGTTAAGCGACGTTAGACTATGTGAGTGGATGGACGGGTCGCGCTGTTGTTCTATGGCAAGAATTTAAAATCTATTAGACACACACTGCCCATTCACGCCGGTTTGTGAATCTTGTGAGTAAGAGCGTTGATTGAAAGAACTGTATTATAATTAATTTATTTCCTTCAGTCAACGGTAAGAGCACAAATTACCTATAACAGATGCGAAAGAAAGCGACTGCATCGGAAACCGCTCGGCAAACCCGACACGCCTATTGAGTGGTGTAAATACACCAGTCGTTTAGTCCGGAAACTTATGCTGTGTCGTATTCGCTTGCTGGAATGACATAGTGCGTAGTTATATGTTTCTTTTTAAAAACGCGTGTAGAATTTTTGTTGAACTTTTGAACTGTTATTTCTAAGTTTTGGTAATTTGTATATCTTATTTAAAATGGGATGCAAATGTGTTTATTTATAAGGAAAAAAAAAGATATTTATAGTATAAAAAATTAATTTATTTAACAAAATTTAATTAAAAATGTGACAAAATAGTTACCTTTCTATTGGTTCTATCGGACTTTTTTCGACTATATAAATCTTTATTTGAAACTTTAATACATCAAATATTTTCAATCTAATAAATCATTTAATGATGTAAATAAGAGGAAATTTCTCACATGGGTGGTCAAATTTTATAGTTTTCATTATATCAAACAGCCTCTGAGAAAAGATTTCAACTCAAAATGCCTTTAATTATGTTTGACTACATCATTAAAAAGGGTCTTCAAATACATCAATGTGATATTTGTCTAAAATTTGCAAAAGAATCCGAATCTCTGGATAACTCGAAATTATTTACCCATTTAAAAGCCTTTGATCATGAAAGTGGAAAAATTTGTTCATTTTTTTTTGACGGGCTGGAAAAATTATTTATATTAAATTTTGATGAGTTTTGCACTGAATAAAACATTCAGAGGCTGTTTGATATAATGAAAACTATAGAATTTGACCACCCATGTGAGAAATTTCCTCTTATTTACATCATTAAATTATTTATTAGATTGAAAATATTTTATGCATTAAAGTTAGTACAAAAAATAAAGATTTATACAGTCGAAAAAAGTCCGATAGAACCAATAGAAATGTAACTATTTTGTCACGTCTTTAATTAAATTTTGTTAAATAAATTATTTTTTAAACTATAAATATCTTTTTTTTTCCTAATCTCCTACGAGCTGATATAATATGACGAGCAATCTATTAAATTACTGTGAGATTATACAGAAAAGTCCACAGACTTCGAGACATAGGAAAATCAAGTCCAGTTAGCGTGTGTCCAAATTTTGACAAGTTTTCAAAAATTACAGTTTTGTTTAGACTGACATTTAATTTCGCCTGACTTCTCGGTGAATGATTTTATGGGAGTACATACAATCTAAAATTTACGGCCATGAAGAAATTAAAAACTTGGAGCAGTTAAGACAGAAAATATTTAATGCCTTTGACACTGTCACCCCTGATATGTTATCCAATGTGTGGAGGGGATTTTATGATCATTTGGGTTATTGTTTAATGCAAGAGGGAGGCACTTTTGAACAATTTTTGTAATTTTTTAAATTTCATTATCCTGTTTTTTTACCGTTTACCCATTACCTACCTTGACGGACATGGGAAAACGGAGGTCCTTTTCAGGACCGCAAATATTCTGATTGAGAAAATTGGTAACTTTTTTTTGGATTAAAAAACAAAAGTTGTTAATATAATATCAATTTAAAAGGGTTTTAGTAGTTTTAATACACACTATGATATAAAATTTATTATTATTATAATGTACATTATTAATACTATTGTTCATTCGAAATGGCATTAAGGCCCAATTGCAACAATGATTTAAATTTTTCTTAAAGATAAGTAGAGCTTAGAATGGGCTGTATTTATATTTACTTTAATATTCACCTTAAATGAGGGAATTTGACTGATACAATTTTTGAATTTGAATTGTTTTTAATGATATTAACAATTTTAGTTCAATTTTTAATAAAATTTATTTAATATTAATAGAAATCCAAGGGATTTGAAACCTCTTTTAGCGATTTATAACATTCTCAAATGAATTACAGGTGCCCTTATTTTGAATGAAAATCACACAGCTTTTTTCATAGTCGCTGCAGTTGCTATAGCTATAAAAAACTAATTTTTTAAGGTGTGAAAATTGCGACACACGCTAAATGGACTTGATTTTTCGTATGTCTCGAAGTCTGTGGACCTTTTTGTATGCCTCGATAACATATTGGTGCAGATTATTTTCACCCAAACAAATAATAACCCAAACTATACATTGATGCGGATTTGTCTATGAACTCTTTCGGAAGGTCACAGAAACCTGAACGCGTAATTCGGTGTTCTTTCGCATCTGTTATAGGTAATTTGTGGTAGGAGTCAATTTAGATACTCGCCATGTCGATAGGCCATTGACAATGATATGGCTGAGGACTGCGGTTCGAATTACGCGTATACTAAGTATTTCCCATTCAGATTAGCCTTAGCAGCAAAACGTTAACTAAAAACACTTTACTTTCAGTTTTATCAGTTTTTCCAATATTTATCATAAATTTTTTAGTACACTAAACATATTTGATTTGTGAAAAAAATGATTGACACATATTTTGACAAACCTAAACCCAAAAATTTAATCTACATAGATTATTAGAGCTATCTTATTTACATAAAAAGTTCAATCAGACTAAATTGAACACAAATAGGTTATAAGAAAGGTGAATCAACAAAATATAAACGTTCGTAAACATGTGATAAACTGAGTATTTTTATCGCTAACAGCTTCTCAACGATTTGGATATCTTTCTGAAAGGTTAACAAACGGGATATACGAGGTGCGATCGCAATGAAACGATTAAATTTGTATTAAAATATAAAGTGTTGGTAAACTCAATACGAACTCTTGATAAATAAATCATATTTTTTGATGCACCGGATATACTAAAAAATAATTGTATTTTGTATATCTCAACCTTCCCTAAAAGTTCTTTATTTGAAATGTTTTATTATTCTCAAAACGAATGAAATCATGTAATCATGAACTTTTACTTTATGGCTCGACTCACTGTTTACAAACAACAATCAATCTATGCAACAATACCGGGTGCGTCTCAAAAGTGGCTCACCCCTATAACTTTTAAAAAACGAGACTTCATATGTTAGTATATGACATAAATTAGGATTGACGTATTCAATTCTTTTCGCTCACTTCCTGTTTCACCGGTAATAACTACAACTTTTGATTTTTAAATGGCACCCTCGGTATTTTTTACTTTATTCAATAGAAAATGGCACTCAGAATAGAATGAAATATCACATTTTAACTTTTGGCATTCTCGCTTAAAAAAAGTATTTAAATTTCAATCTAGAGTGCCATGGCTGTGTTAAAAACACTAATTTTTAATCAAGGAGCCTTGGAAAAATTGATTTGATCGTCTTATGTTTTTCGCGTCTTGTCCTGACCGGTTAAAAAATAAAGAATCGTATTTTTAATCATATCTCAATTTTTTCAAATGGAACGAGGGTGGCTAATTAGCATATCTGGAAAATCATTTTTTTTACGAATAACTAGGTACCACAAAGTATTTCGACTCAAATTATATGATCAAATCAAATATCGTATGATCGAAAAAAAAAACGGCGTCCGCTTGGCTTGGAAATAAACATCGATGACGTACCTCATATAATTTTACATGTAAAATGACAGCGATCTTTTTTTTTTTTTTCGATTATATTGTGTCAGCCATTTATATATTTATGAGATGAAACAAAAACCAAATGCTATTAATTACTGAATAGCCCTAAACAATTTTAAACGCACTGTTTAAGTTCCTTTTTAAAATCACATCATTTATCACAATAAATTACTTTTTGAAACGTCCACGTAGAAACCTATACCCTATTTATAAAACGACTGGCCTTGTGTTAAACTCGTTCAGTAAGTATTTACACGACATATCACTAGTTACATTCGTTTACTAATTCGGTTAGTACGATAAGCATTGTTAGTACCGATTTTATTATTTTTCCGTCAGATTTCTTGAATGTGCCATTAAAACACTAGGAAAAAATGAGTAACCACGATCCCCTGGATTCGGACTGCATCACCCTGACGAGATTCGTACTATCGGAACAGAAAAAAGTACCCCAAGCCACGGGAGAACTCACACAACTCCTCAACTCCATTCAAACAGCTGTCAAAGTTATTAGTAGCGCTGTCAGACGGGCGGGAATAACGCAATTGTAAGCCAAAACTTGTATTTTCTTCTGTAATCAAGGGTTATAAACAATTGTCTAATAAACTGTTGTCTGTTAAACGTTTTAAATTAAATGATATCTAATCGTTTGCCTTGTGCAACACAGACTGTGTTGCTTAGAAACAATAACAATAATAACATAATATTATATTTATAACCATAAGATTGTTTATAAAAATTTAATTTATACAGGGTGGTCCGAACTGTATTCCGGAAACTTCGGCAGCATATTCTGCAGATAAAAATAAGTAAAAAAGTTCGTATAAATATATGTTCTAAAATGCTTAGTTTCGGAGATACAGGGTGTAGAAGTTTCAATTTTATATCTATTTTTTCCAAATTATTTCTGAAGTAACGTCAATATTTGGATGAAAATTGGTGTCTTGAGGTTTTTTGACATGAGAAATTTGATTTTTATCTCAATATGACTCCTACTTGTAGGGGGCGCCACCTACATACTTTTTAACTGGTTTGAAGAGTAATAACTTTTCGTCCGTACCTGTATAAAACTATTAAGTAAAAAAATGTACATTTACGGCGTTTTTTACGTAAAAAAGGTCTCTTGGTAAAAATCGCTACGAGTAATAGTTCTCGAGATATTTGGAATCGAAATTATCGATACCTATTATCATTGACATAAATTAAACATGTCAACTAAATAGTTGTTAATAAAATTATATAAGGATTCTTGCCACTTAACTGCTGATATAGAAATTTAATTATACGCTGTGTTTGTCATAATGTGGATCAATCTGCTCTCACTACCGGTTTCGGAGCCCTACTCCATCATCAGGTGAGCTTGGGCAGATCCCTATTACTTTCGTTATTACTCTTCAAAACCGTTAAAACACATGTAGGTGGCGCCCCCTACAAATAGGAGTCACATTGACATCAAAATCAAATTTCACGTGTCAAAAAAACCCCAGATACCAATTTTCATCCAAATATTGACGTTACTTCAGAAATTATTTGGAAAAAGTCGAAATGAAAATGAAACTTCTACTAAACTTCCGGAATACAATTCGGACCACCCTGTATAGGTATAAAAGGTCATTTTTATTACGAATAGAACATATTTTTTTTTTCAAACGTCACAAAACGTCACAAATAATAATAAACCGAGTAATAAACAATTTCAAACCTTGCAAATAATATAAAAATATTTAAAACAGTATTTAAACCTTGTAAGTAATTATGCCAGGTGCGTCTCAAAAGTGGTTTACCCCTATAACTTTTTTATTTTTTCAGATAAAAAAAAACTAATTCTAGTATATGACATAAATTAGGATTGATAGACGTATTCAGTTGTTTTCGGTCACTTCCTGTTTCACCAGAAATGACTACAACTTTTGATTTTTAAATGGCACCCTTGGTATAATTTTGCTTTATTTGATTTTTTTTTGATAATATTTGCTAAGAATAATTTGGCACACACTTATTGGTATTTCGAGTCAAATTGTCGTTTGGTTTGGTTGTAAGAAATTATGCTTTTTTAAATAAAAACTAAAAAAATCATTTTTTTTTTCAAAACATTTTCAATTTTTTTTCGCAAAAAAAATCCTCATAGACGTGTTTCTGGGGTTGAAATATACCACCTCTAAACATATTTGCACTTATTTAAGACTCACCCTTTAGTATAGTTTTCTGATTACTCTATCTCAATTTTCAGGTTTGGTATTGCTGGTCAGACCAATGTACAGGGTGAAGAAGTAAAAAAACTGGACGTGCTTGCCAATGAACTATTCATTAATATGCTCAAGTCATCTTACACAGTAGCGTTGCTGATTTCTGAGGAAAATGAAACAGTAATAGAGGTAAATATAGCCTTGTAAAAAGTTGTAACACTATCAAACAAATTATAGTTATCTTTTCCATAGCAACTGTTAAAATTGCCTTATATCTATCAAAAATAGTAGATAAAATAGTACTTTAACCGCAAGGGTAGATTAAATGATACTTTAACAGCTAGGATGGGTTAAAAACTTTATTTCTTCTCGCACGTTTTTTAATTGCTTCCATTTTTGGAAATTTTTGTATTCCTTTTCGTTATAAACGGAAGTAGTTTGGATATGGCGTTTGTCGTCTCAGCCTGAATATCTGTTGGTAATTTACTTATTTCGTTTTAAGCCATTTCTGGCTCCAATTCAATCAGTAATCGACACGAAAGGGAATTAAAAAATATTGATTCAAAACTGACAACTAAAGAGACAGCTTTATTTATTTGTCAAATTACATAGAAACCAACGCCAACCCAGCACAATATTTTTTCTACTCGTAATAAATTCCTTGAAATAATAATTTCTGAATATTTTTTAAAAAGTAACTCGCTATGGAAAAAATATTGTTTTATACACGACGATAAAATTGCATTATCGTGTCCCGAAATTAATTCAGTCGCGATTTCATCGCTCGTGAATTAATCTATTCGGTCGACGATAAAATACCAGTATATCGTCTTGTATAAAAATAGTTATTTTGTATACAAATACACACACCGGAAAAGTCTAGGGATATTACAATTTTATCCAGGCATCGTCAGTAATTTTATTATTTGCATTTCTGATATAATAAAATTAAAATAAACAAATATTTTACAGGACGTATTGGAAATAAAAATGCGAAATTTACCGAATTTTTCAAATTTACCTTGATTTTTATTGAACTCAAAAAAATACACACTTTTTTTTTATTCTAAACTGTGAATTAAAAGAAAAAGATAAAACCATTTTTACTTAATAAAGGGTATGACCTCCTCTACTGTTCATTACAGCCCTACATCGTCTCTCCATGCTCCTGATCGGGTTGTCGATCTCTTCTTGAGGTACAGCCTGCCACGCTGCATTCACGGCCCGAACCAGATCCCTACGAGTTTCACGAGGCATACCCATTCTCAAAATTCTTCTTTGGACCGCGTCCCATACGTGCTCGATGAGGTTGAGGTCAGGAGATTGTGCCGGCCAGGGTAAGATGTTTAATTGATGAGCATTGATAAACTCACTTACCACTCTGGCTGTATGAGGCCGTGCATTGTCATGCATGAAAATGAAGTTTCTCCCAAAATCATTAGCATAGGTCATAGGTAACAGGACAGGCTCAAGAATTAAATCACGATATGTGATTCCTGTTAGAAACCTTTCAAGAAAAACGAGATCGGTTTTTCGGCCTAACTGGACTCCTCCCAAGACCATAACTGTTCCACCTTGATAAGGGTGCACTTCCTGAACATGATCTAACCGAATAAGATTTCCCGGTTCTCTCCATACCCTAAGTCTTTTCGAATCCGGATGAATTCCAAAGCGTGACTCATCCGTGAAGAGAACATTGGCCCATTGTTCATTCGACCACTGAACATGATCTTGAGCCCACAAATATCGTACTTCTCGATTTCCTCTCGTTAAGGGTTGAGCTCTCCAGGGGCGTCTACTTCTTAAGTTGACCTCTCTTAATCTATTGTGAACAGTGTCAGGACTAACGGTTACATTATGTGTTTCCTGGAGAATTAAACTAAGCTCTGGTGCTGTAAGAGTCGGTCGGCGTCGATCATTTAATTGTAAAAAATGATCTTCCTGAGGGGTAGTAATGCGATGTCGCCCTGTGTGCCTTTCTGCAACATCACCACTTTCACGGTAGCGTGCACTTAATCGCGATATTACACCTTGCCTTGTATTTAATGCTCTAGCTACGTTGATTTGGCGCATTCCAGCTTCGAGCATACCCATGGCCCTTAGCATTTCGTCTCTGTTAAGATGTCTACGCTCCATAATGTAGTTTAATACTAAACAGAGTTATTTGAATGAATTCTGGCCAGTTATCATAAAAAACATAGCCAGTACAGGTTAAATTCGAACAATTGATGGTAGGTGCTTTTTATACATTTGACAAAAAATGCACAAACACTTCTGCAAATATCCCAAATTTAGAAATAACTAGTGTGACTACTTCGTTTCAATCGAAGTAGAAAGAATCGGCCTACAAATATGTGGTTGTTTATTCAAAACATTTATTTTTAACTTTAATAAAATGATATCCCTAGATTTTTCCGGTGTGTGTAGTTATACACCACTTGACACTAATGTTTAGTTGTTTCAATATAAAACACTATACAGTTGCTTTAAAAAAATTATTCCGTTTCCCTGACACAGGTTGATCTAGAAAGACGTGGAAAATACATAGTAGCCTTTGATCCCCTGGATGGATCTTCCAACATTGACTGTCTGGTGTCTATTGGTTCCATCTTCGCCATTATGAAGAAAGAAGACAACAGCATACCTACTCTTAAGGATGCGTTACAACCAGGCACCAAAGTGGTTGCCGCTGGTTACGCACTATATGGTAGTGCTACCATGATGGTGCTGTCACTGGGAAGCAGTGTCAACGGGTTTATGTTGGATCCAACTATTGGGGAATTCGTATTGACTGATAGGGATATGAGAATACCCAACAGGTATAAAAATATTTATTTTCTGTATTAGTTCAAGTTTCTTAAACAATTTTTTCGATATTTGACAAATACTTAATGCTTCTTATTTCTGTTTTTAGGGTTCCGTAGCATATACATAAGATTTTTCTTTTAATTTTTATTACTAAAAGAAACATTAGTCGTTACCTGCAATATAAATTAAGCACTATCGTAATGATTATAGTGTTTTTCAATCAATATTTACTCTACGTTAAACTGTTTAATAATGTACCGTATGATCGAATAAAAACGGCGTCAGCGATGGCTATGAAATGAAGATCGCTGTCATTTTATATGTAATACTAGCGTGTACCAGCGACTTCGTTCGCGTCGAATTAATCATTTGTAATGGTGATGATAAAGCAAAGCAAGAATTTTCCTTAACATACAAACTGAGAAAAAACAGCATGAGAAAAAACAAAATGGCGATATTATTATATAACTTGGTAATATTTGAGGGATAGTTTCATCTCGTTGGAATTTGACTTTCGAAAAATCCGTTTGCCACAAATAAGCTTTTTACGTCAAGCAGTTTAAGCAGAATCGTGGTTAATCAATTACCCAACTTTTTGAAACACCCTGTATGATTTTTTTAAAAATTTCAAAATATGTAAAAAAACCAAATAAATTATGCATGTCCAAGCGTTTTTTAAATAACAAATATTGTAATATTTGAGGGGCGTTTTCACCCCCTTGAAATGTGAGATTCGTGAAACCCCTCCTTATCGAACCTCTACACCCCACAGTTAATCCGTTTGCCAAAAATCAGCTTTAAACGTCAAGCAGTTCAAGCAGAATCGTGATTATTCAAGGGTCATATTTTATGAAACACCCTGTATAAATTTATAAAAAATCTTAAAACATGTAAAACAACAAAATAAAATATAAGTGTTTAAGAGTTTTTTTCCGAAAAACTCACCGGTTTTTAAATAAAAAATATTTTAATATTTGAGGGATAGTTTCACCCCCTTAGAATTCGAGTTTCGAAAAATCCCTTATTCTTATCGAACCTCTACACCCTAAAGTCAATCTGTTTTCCAAAAATCAGCTTTTTACGTCAAGCGCTTTAAGCAGGATCGTGATTAATCAATGACCAGATTTTTCGAAACACCCTGTACACATTTTTAAAAAAAGCTTAAAATATGTAAAAAAACAAAATAAAATATACGTGTTTAAGCGTTTTTCGGAAAGATGACCGTTTTTTAAATAAAAAATATTGTAATATTTGAGGGGTGGTTTCACCCTCTTGGAACTGGAATTTCGAAAAATCCCTTCTTATCGAACCTCTACACCCTAGAATCAACCTGTATGCCAAAATTGAGCTTCTTACGTTGAGTGGTTTGAGCAGGATCGTGATTAATCAGTATGTCAGTCACTTAAGGATTTTATATATTAGTATAGATTATATGGGAAATGTCATCAATCGTCATTTCATAGTCATCGCTGACGCCGTTTTTATTCGATCATACGGTATAAGTTAGATATAAACGGTATTCATTCGTAATATAAAATACAGAGTGCTTAAAATAGTAGAGAAAAATACAAAATCCAGTTTAGACTCTCCCTGTATATTGCTTTTCAGAATTAATTCTTGCTCTGACTTTTAAGCGAAAGAAATAAACTTTACTGAAGAATTTAATTGCTTCGTTTAATATATACAGGGGTATCAAAAATTGCTGGTCGATTTTAAATATTTATTTTACAGAAAAAATTCGTTATTTCAAATACAACACCCTGTATTTTTTTAAATAGATCGAAGCAGATTCAAATGCTCTTTCAAACTATATTACCGTTTCCTATACCTATCTAGCTCAGATTTCGAATAAAGAGCAATTTTTCAATAAAATGACAAGCAACAGTGCTAGTGTTGTCATGGCAAGTTTCTAGTGACAGTTAGTAGCTATTTTCAAAATCGAAATTAGTTTATGGACTTATTTAAATAAGTGGAATCGGATCCACATGTTGTTATAAACAATAAATTTTATTTTTACGTTTACTTTATTACCCACATGTTTTTTGAAACACTCTGAATATGCGTATATTAAAAACAAATGGTATGTGGTGTGTTTCTCTAATCTTGAAGAGGACAATTTACTAATTACACTTAAAAAGGATCAATAATTTAACAAATTCAAGTCTCATTCCATAATAGAAAAAATTATGAGACGCATTTCTTTAAAAAAGTAGATGTGCTTAAATATTTCTCGAATTTAATTGTATTTCTATTTTCTATTACAGAGGTAAAATATATGCAATAAATGAAGGATACACTCATCAATGGGAACCAGCAATAAAGGAATACGTGCAAAATAAGAAAGACCCATCAAAGGGCAAGACTTACAACGCAAGGTACGTTGGTTCCATGGTTGCTGATGTCCACAGAACCATCAAATATGGAGGTATATTTATTTACCCTGCCACTACATCGTCTCCCAAAGGAAAGGTAACAGTTTAAAAAATATTTCATTTATAATAACTAAAAATCTTGGAATTACTAATAATTATTATTAGCTTTAATTTATCTAAAAGTTTCTATGCTTAAAAGTGTTTCTTTTCTACAGCTTCGCTTACTCTATGAATGCATCCCTATGGCACATATAGTTCAAACAGCTGGAGGATCAGCATCAAATGGAAAAATACCAATTTTGGAAATTCAGCCACAAGCAATACATGAAAGATCACCCATATTTTTAGGCTCTAAAGAAGATGTGGAGGAAATACTAGAAATAATTAAAAAACATGAAAAATCATAGACTCCCCGATAGATAAATAAAAGACTGGAATTAGAATTTAATATTTAATGTTAGAACAAAAAATTTTTAAAAACATATATTTGTTATTGACTTTAATGTAATTAATTGAAAAACTTGAAAAGAATCCATCTAGATGGAAAGGAAATACTGCCATCACAGGAAGTGAAATATCTGGGAATAACCCTGGATAGTAAACTTCTCTGGAACAGGCATATTAAGAACATTACCAGCAAAGCCACAAAGGCTCTCATTATATGCAGAAGACTGGCGGGAAATAGGTGGGGCTGCGTCCCTAACATTTTGTGCTGGGTGTATACCATGATAGTAAGACCCATGATTACTTATGGAGCAGTTGCTTGGTATACAAAACTAGAGCAACGTACAGCAAGGCAAAACCTGTGCAAAGTACAGAGACTGGCATGTATCTGCATCACAGGTGCCATGAGAACATGTCCAACAGCACTGCATATTGTCGTCGGTAGTTGTGCCAATGCGACAATGATTAGAATGGTATTGTATCACAAAATCATAAATATTTAAAAAAGTTTAAAGTGGTAAACGCGGTAAACCGTAACCCTTAATCAAATTCACCTTTATTTTAATCGTAGAAACTAAAAATCTAATAATATACAGGGTGATATTTAAAAAACTAAAACTTTGATAGTTTTTCTTTATTTGGGACACTCTGTACGTTTTGAAAATAATTTTGAATTGTAGCTTTAGTAGTCCTTCAACAATCTTCTAAAAATCGAATCATTTGGCTATTAATACTCCGTGAAATAAAGCATTAAAATTGTTATTGTATTATCACAAAATCATAAATATTTAAAAAACGGCAAGTTTAAAGTGGTAAACGCGGTAAACCGTAACCCTTAATCAAATTCACCTTGATTTTAACGGTAGAAACTAATAATCTAATAATATACAGGGTGATATTTAAAAAAAATAAAACTTCGATAGTTTTTCTTTATTTGGGACACTCTGTACTTTTTGAAAATAATTTTGAATTGTAGCTTTAGTAGTCTTTCAACAATTTTCTAAAAATCCAATCATTTGGCTACAATACCTCGTGTCGAATGATTAGAATGGTTACTGACGGAAACAGTACTGGGAGAATTTTCAGGTCAGGGGCTTGGAACACCCTCAAAAAGAAAATTTCACTTCTCCTTCAACTCCCAGTGGATGACATACCAAGAATTTACAACTTTGAGAAACACCTCACTGTAGTATTGAGTAATAAAAAGGATTGGAAGAAAGAAACGCTTACTCAGCATATAAAAGACCATACCATCACGTGGTATACTGATGCTTCCAAAACTAAAGCAGGGACAGGGATAGGAGTATTTGGGCCGAAAACTGAATAATCCGAACCAATGGGCACCTACCCCAGTATCCTTCAGGCAGAAATTTGCGCTATCGAAAGATGCGTACAATTTATCTTAGATAGGAACTATCGAAAACAGGAAATTGCCATTCTATCCGATAGTCAAGCAGCACTTAACGTGATCAACTCAGTAACCATCAATTCGAAGTTGGTCAAAGAATGCCTAGAGAAGCTCAACAAGTTAGGCAAAGAAAATAAAGTCCTCATACTCTGGGTGCCTGCTCACCAAGGGATGGAAGGCAATGAAAAAGCAAATGATCTAGCTAGAAAAGGAGCGAACACTCCACTAACTGAACCAGAACCGTTCTGTTTTCCAAACGGGAACCAACTGAAAGCGGAACTGAAGAATCTGGAAGACTCCATCCGTAACTTGGAATGGGTGTCCTCTAACGGTCTAAGACACTCGAAAAAGTTCCTTAGAACTTATGACCGAGAAAAATCAAAGGTTTTCCTTGATTTTAGTAAAAACAATCTTCGGATTGTCACGGGGTTTCTAACAGGACACTGTCTCCTCAACGAACACCTCAGTAAGCTGAAACTGAGAAACAACGGCGAATGCAGATTTTGTGGGGAAAATGGGGAACACCAGAACACCTTATCACTGAGTGCGCCGAGATGACGACCATTCGTGCCATGAACCTTGGTACGTCTGATGTCGAGGATGGAGAGCTGGCCTCTGTGGAGCCGTCTCAGATACTGGCTTTTCTTAAAGCACTGAGACTGTATGATGAGTTATACCTCGTTATAACTCACGAAAGGGGAACACACAATAGATCTATAAGGTCGCGGTGATTAACTCCCCTCCTAAACATTCTACATTAATGTAATAAAAAATAAAAGAAATTTTTAGCATATAAAAAATATAATTTATTAAGCAAAAAACATTTATTTACAATAATGGTACAGCTAACATATTATCACTTTCTGAAGCTGTTACATCCAACACAAGCTTCAATTCCTCAAACAAATGGTTCATATGTTCATCCGATCCTTCTAATTGTGACAAGACATCAGAATATTTCTTAGAAAGCTGCTCTATAGTTTTCAGAGTCGTCCCAATAAAACTTTTGGTTGGTTCGCATAGTTCCAATGATCTTTTTTCCAACAATACTGACAATCCACGAAAAAATTGTATTAAATCCAGCTGACGAGTGTTCTGAAGAATGTGTTCAATATCTTTAGGCACTTGCAATGAATCTTCATTGTGTTCCAGTAATAAATCTGTACCGCTGAGGCATTTTAACAGTTGCTCACAATGAGAAAAAAGGTTTTTCATTTCAACAATTTTCTGAACTTCGGCTTTAATCACAAGTAATTTTTCTTCCAGACTTTCCGAAGAAGGATATGAAGGATGTTTCAAATCAAAATCAGTTTGAATAGTTTTGAAATTCTCTTGAGCTAAATGTATATCTTTGTTCAACTTTGTTAAGGATTTTGTAATTTCTTCACCTTTGTTTTTCATCCCTTCGAATTTTTCATCAAAGTTTTTTATAATTTCCTTAGATTCACTCTCGATGTTTGATACCAAAGTACTCAAGTGTTTTAATTGTGTTTTAACCATGCCGGGAAACACTTTATTATTTGGTTTTATAGGATATAATAACCCTGTCAGATCGGAATTTTCAAGATGTTTATATATCGCGAACTGAGATACTTTCAACATGAATTTAGCAAACCGATATCCACCAGGTGATATAAGAGTCGAAGCCTGACACGTAGGTATATGGGCATAGGGATATATTGAATTTATTTCGTTAATATAAGCGATAACTTCATTACGAAACCTTACTTCGCATTTTACGTCGTGAATGGGCCAGCTTGTGAGTCTCTGTTTAGTGATTTCCGGGTGTATACTATTTAAAAGATAGTGAATCACTTGAAAGAATGCGGCTTTGTTGTTCTTCACAAACATATCCTTACGAAACACCGCATCGAAATCCTTGCTAGTCGGGTAAAAATGCGATAAAAGCACTAAGTTGTTGTATAGGTTTTCATGAACTTTATGTTCCATTTCCTTGTGTTGCTTAAATAGGTCCATAGTGTTTGTTTTAATCTAAAATAACACGTTATTGGCATAGATCTAAAATTTTATTTAAACCTTACCTAAACAAGCTTTATACCCTAAAATAATTAAACACTCTAAAATTAAAGACAATTTATAAATAATTAAACAATATCATTAAACTTTCGAGCAGTTTTTTTTAATGTTATGAAATTTAAAAGTGACATTTAAAAACGTTTTTCATTGACAATTGGCTATCTTTTTCTAATGCTATATGAAATGAGACAGAAAATAAAATTGACGCGACATCTGTATTATAGAGGCTGTACTAATACTAATGTTGCCCTCTATGAAAGATTGTCTAAAGAGAGGTGATTATTTAGTTGCTTCCTGCATAAATTCATTTTACAGTTTCCTATAAAATTAATTTATATTAAAAACAAACTTACATTTAAATAAAGTGACAAAATAACTAGAAATATATTTGTAAAATTTGTATTTAAGTAATTTAATAATTATATCTCTATTTAGAGTAAATTATTGGAATAAAATACATTTTCTCGATAGTGGCGTCATCTATGGGAATGGAACAGTAGTGAAGGAAAGATTATGTGACATCTATACGACACCGCTGTAAGGTAGGCTATATAGATTTCTATATCAATAGAAATAATTTTATGAATTCCTATTAATAAAATTGATAAAATCTCATATAAAATAAAATCAAATTCCACTCAAACAGAAAGAAAACAATGTTTTATTTCAAGAAATTGACGTGATATATAAATAAAAATGGAAAGACCTATGCAATTACCATATCCTTCGCTCTATACAATCCATTCCTGTTTCAAATGCAAAAAACACAACCCGTTGCCGCCGTTTTTCTGTCCGCTGAACATCACCCCGACCAGAGACGGTAAGTTTGACGCAGAGTGCACTTTGGACACCCACTTATCGATAGTTTTAAATATTTTCTCCTTGTTCGAGCTGCTCTCGTCAATCTTGTCACTGGCGATCCTCAAATGAGCGATGTTTAATTGATGCTCGTTGATCGTGGAGCACAAATGTTCCACCACCTGTTTATTCGAATCCTTCCTCGTGCAATTAATGTTTTTCAACGGTTTCGAAGTGTCCTTATCGATATAATATCGATATTTATTAGCTATATCGTCCACGGCAACGATATTAGCGGTATTTCCGCTTTTGGTGCACTGTTTTAGCATGCTGGTTGCATAATTGGCGGTTCCCATGTCTGGATAGGCCCTCTGTCGGCTACGGACCGAACTCATGACCGCGTCGCCGAAAAATAAGTGTTTTCCAAGCTTTAATTGGGCTAGTTTCATACAAGCCAAACTGTCTTCGGAACTGCAATGGCCTTGGTGGCCAGCCTGGATTTTCTCGTCTAGGAATTCTCTAGCCAAGGTTTGCAGTTTCGTTTTTCTGATTCTGTCGCCGGTTATGTTATAGATCACACTGAAAAACATAATTTTTTTATATACTTTCCCCAAATATTTCATATACAAAGTTATTCACCTCATTCGACACAGAGTATTGTAGCCAAATAATTGGATTTTTAGAAATAGTGAGTGATGGGATCCTTGGAGGACTACTTAAAACTACAATTTAAAATTATTTTCATGAGATACAGAGTGTCCTAAATAAATAAAAAATATCTAAGTTATATTTTTTTAAATGGAAAACCCTATACACCTAAATAATATACCCTGTATATTATTACATTTCTAGTTTCTACAATTAAAATAAAGGTAGATTTAATTAAGGTTTACCGTTTTTTTTAATCTTAATGTTTTTTAAATATTTACGATTTTGTGAAAATACAGTAAAAATTTTAATGCTTCATTTCTCTAGACGAATTTAAGTTTTTAAAACCAAATACTGTCCTGAAATTTTTGTATTTACTAAATTTTGTGTTGCAATAATCAAAATAATACTACCTTATACAGAGTGTCCAAAAATGAATTTTGAATATTACTAGTTTAAACGGCAATTACTTGTTTAATTTAAATGGAACATCCTGTATATTTTACAAGAATCAGATGCAGGGTTTAATTGTATTATACCATTTTTTACCTATCTCTTCATCGCTTATTTATAACTTATAACAGAGACGTTCACATTCATAACTTATTATTATATTGATTTCTGAAATTCTTTTCAAATTCACATTTACTTAGAATAATTTATTAACTAACACAATTAAGTATGTAATTAATTAATATTTGGGCGGAAATAATGGTGGTGTATTTAATTAGTATACCCTTTTACAAACATTTAAATAGTTTTCTGTTTATAAACAAGGGGGCTAGTAATATTATCGGTTTTAGCACCTGTACAGGGTGGGTCAAATTCGACGCTTTTAAATGGAAACATCCTTTTCTATAAGAGATGAGACGAAAACGAAAACTAATATCGGTGTCTGGAGCTCAATTTTCATCAAAAACATGATGGTGAAAACCGCACATCAATATCTGTTACCGTTTCGGAGTTACGGGGTGTTTTTTTCAAAAATATGCATTAAAATACAAAAAAATGAATTTTGTATGTGTATTAGACAGTGTGGTAAAGAGTAACACCTTATAAATTTTATTTCATTTTTGGACAAATGCTTATTTACAGGGTGGCCCATCGAAAATGTTCCGCAAGGCATAACAGCCAGGGTATTTTTTTTTTCGAAAAATCCAAAAATACGTCAATTCTGTTTGTGAGGGGGACAAGTTTTGCCCCCAAAATGATTGCAAAATCTTCAACCCTCTAAGCGGGGGTGTCATCCCCCAACTTTTTTCAAATGGGAAGGGGGGTCAAGTGGCGTCGCAATGAAAAGGGCCTTCTATTCTCTATATTTCCCCGCCTCATTTTTAAAAATCGGTCGAGTCGTTTTGAAAATATGAAAGTCTGAAATTTGAAAAGTATTTTTTGCAAAAAACGCATAAATTGAATTAATTAAAAAAAACTTATCTTATTAATAAAGAAAATGCTGAAAATGTTGCCCGTCAACCTCCATACAGTAATACAAATTATTTTCAACCCGTTCTAGAACATTCTGAAGAACTTGCGGAGTCACTTCGCAACAAACATCAATAATTCGTCTCCGCAGGTCTTCTAATGAGGCGGGTGGAGTGCTATACACTTTACTTTTTATGTGTCTCCATAGAAAAAAGTTTATAGGAGTCAAGTCGGGTGACCGGGGAGGCCACTCAATTGCACCCCTTCGTCCTATCCACCGAACGGGAAAGTTATTGTTTAAATAATTACGCACATTTTGAGAGTAATGTGGAGGTGCACCGTCTTGTTGAAATATTAGTTCCGCTTCAACGTATCCAGGATTGTTCTCTATGATGTCAGTTAGGGCTGGGTCGATGGTATTTTCCAGTAAATCCAAGTACATATCACCTGTTAGATTTCCAGGAAGAAAAAAAGGATTCACAATAGAATTTCTAAAAATACCAAACCACACGTTCAATTTCTTAGGGTTTCGTATGTGCACCTCGTGAAAAACCCTGGGGTTGCCCTCAGCCCAGTACCGGCAGTTGTGCCGATTAACTACACCTTTCAAAAAGAAAGTACACTCTACCTAACCTGATCGTTCAATCTTGTGACAAGTGAAAAAATGCGTAGACATCTAGAAATAATAAGAAAAAACAGCAAATTGGTCAAAGGAATTTATCCTTATCATTTACTCTGATAAATGTTTAAATAAACTTTTCAAATTTCAATCCTTCATATTTTCTCAATGACTCGACCGATTTTCAAAAACGAAGGGGAAAGTATAGAGAATAGAAAGCCCTTTTCAAAGCGGTACCACTTGACCCCCCTTCCCATTTGAAAAAAATTGGGGGATGACACCCCCGCTTAGAGGGTTGAAGATTTTGCAATCATTTTTGGGGCAAAAATTGTCCCCCTCACAAACAAAATTGACGTGTTTTTGAATTTTCTGGAAAAAAATTACCCTGGCTGTTATGCCTTGCGGAACGTTTTCGATGGGCCACCCTGTATAACAATAGTCTGTTACAAAGATTTGAATAGTTTTCTTTTTATAAACAAAGGGGCTAGTAATATTATCGGTTTTAGCACCTCTACATTTTGTATATTTGTTGCGTTAAAAAAAAATCTAAAATGTCAATATTCTATGGGTATATTAAAATGAGGTCTAAATTATAAGAAAATGCATTTTCTATGAAAACTTGAAGACATAGTTGAAAATGTTATAATACAATTTCATAGACAATTAAATTGTGCATCTGATTCACGTAAAATATACAGGGTGTTTGATTTAAATTAAACAAGTTATTGCTGTTAAAACTAGTAATTATTTAATACAAATTTTTAGGCACTCTATATAAGGTAGTATTATTTTTATTACTGCAACACAAAATTTAGGAAATCGAAAAGTCCAATTCGGACTATAGTATGACTTTTTTTGAAACTTTAGTTTGGGAGATATAAATTTAATCGGACCTCTTAAAAAAAAATTTTCAGAAACTCTATGAGATAAGAGTTTACCAAAAATGTTTTTTATACCTACTACTGGGTAAATGAATTTGTAGATATAGTATGACTTTTTTGGAAACTTTAGTACAATATTAGGTTTTAAAAACTTAAATGAAGCATTAAAATTTAAAATTGTTACTGCATTTTCAAATAATTAAAAAAAAAACGGTAAATTTAAAGTGCGGTAACCCTTGATCAAATTTACCTTTATTTTCATTGTAGAAACTATAAATGTAATAATACACAGAGTGTTATATTTATAAAAAATACATCTTTGATATTTTTTATTTGTTTAGGACACTCTGTACCTTTTGAAAATAATTTTAAATTGTAGCTTTACTAGTCCCCCAACAATCCCATTAATCACAATGTCTAAAAATCTAATCATTTGGCTACAAGACTGCGTGTCGAATGAGGTAAATACCCCGTAAAAAATAATTTGCAGGCGCATTCACCATTTTGTCAAGACAAAAAATTCAAAACTCTCACCTTGTATCTATAACATATGGGTGCATCATTTTCAAGGCATGTAAATCGTTGGACAGAGACTGTCCAACTAAAATAGCATCGTCCGGTATCAGTTCACTTAACTCATCTTGCACGTCCCTCAATTTTTTCGTTACATTTCTCAACATTTTTGAATTTATACCAGAAAACCTCGTTAAATAATCAACGATCTTGTTTTCCGGCTTTACTAGACTATCGTATTTTTAAAAGAATTATACTTAAACCATTAAATTTTACGTAAAAAGGTGCTTAGGAAATGTTTTCATAAAAATACAAAATTTTCCATAGCAAAAAAGTTACAGCGATTTATTAAAAATGCATATTTTAGAACAACACCCCGTAACTCCGAAACGGTAACAGACATCGATATGCGGTTTTCACCATCATGTTTTTGACAAAAATTGAGCTCCAACACACATTCCATGGGTATATTGATAAATAAATTATAAAAAAATGCATTTTCAAGAAAACTTACAAGATAGGTAAAAATGGTATAATATAATTTCATAGATAATTAAATTGGGCATCTGATTGATGTAAAATATAGAGGGTGTTCCATTTAAATTACACAAGTTATTGCCATTTAAAGCTAGTAATTATTTAATGAAATTTTTTAGACACAAAATTTAGCAAACAGAAAAACTCCAGTACAATATTTGGTTTTAAAAACTCAAATATGCCTAGAGAAATAAAGCATTAAAATTGTTATTGTATCACAAAATCATAAATATTTAAAAAACGGTAAGTTTAAAGTGGTAAACGCGGTAAACCGTAACCCTTAATCAAATTCACCTTTATTTTAATCGTAGAAACTAAAAATCTAATAATATACAGGGTGATATTTAAAAAACTAAAACTTTGATAGTTTTTCTTTATTTGGGACATTCTGTACGTTTTGAAAATAATTTTGAATTGTAGCTTTAGTAGTCTTTCAACAATTTTCTAAAAATCCAATCATTTGGCTACAATACCTCGTGTCGAATGAGGTGAATACCCCTCATATAAAAATAATTTGCAGGCGCATTCACCATTTTATCAAGACAAAAAATTCAAAATTCTCACCTTGTATCAATAACATATGGATGCATCATTTTTAAGGCATGTAAATCGTTAGACAAAGACTGTCCAACCAAAATAGCATCGTCCGGTATCAGTTCACTTAACTCATCTTGCACGTCCCTCAATTTTTTCGTTACATTTCTCAACATTTTTGAATTTATACCAGAAAACCTCGTTAAATAATCAACGATCTTGTTTTCCGGCTTTACTAGACTATCGTATATGACCTCGTGTTTTTCGTTGACAACTGATACCCTGGTTAATTCCAAATCGCCTAAAATATATTAATAAATCCATTTACAGTTTTTTTTTTAATAAAAACTCTTTCACCATTTTGTCAATAGAAAAATCCAAAAACGCTCAGAAAATAAAAAACGTATGTACATACCTGTTTCAGTTTTACACATTTCACAATCGATAGCTATCAGTGGACTATGAGGACTAACATGTTTATATTTCTTTTTTGTCAGTCTATAACCAGAATATTTTCTTTCTGCCAAACCTTTAATGGGCAAAGGAAAATTTTCTTCAATCATTTGCCAGCCAGATAACAATAAATGCGTTCTAAAATATATAATTAAACATAAAATAAGAAAATAAAGAATAATAGATAAAATACAACCTTGGAAATTTGTCTGACGATGGTAAACCATCAATTTGGGCCTTTGTGCTTTGATCATCCGAATCAATAGGAAAGAAATTATTTACAGTGTTGAATACTTCGCCACATAGTTTTGTAGCTTCTTCTAATGTTCCATATTCAGTTACCAATTTACGCATTTGAGTGGCTGAACAAAAAAATTGTAATAAAAAAATTAAAAAACAAGATTTCTATAAACTAAGTACCTGATAGGGGAACCATAGACAATTCTTGTACAATGTCATCATTGTAAGAATGAGGACTAACCACCTCAATTTTATGGTAAAAATTCGACTTCATAAACTCAAATTGACTTTGAAAAGCTTCATAATGATACAAAGATATATTTTCAATGATTAACATTGTTACATTCATTAATTTATTGTACTTCTCTAAACCACACCATCTAAAACACAAATACTTGTATAATTGTATCAATTTAAATTATCACGCAATACCTGGCTGGTGAATATGGTGAATGCACTCCCACTTGAGAATACATAATTAAATGCTGAATATCTGATAAAAACAAGGGACATCTGCTTTCTAAATCAACGGCTAGACTGGCATTTTTACCAACATCCCTTAGATAAAGCTTTGGGGCCTATAACAAAATTCTTTTATACAAAAATTTCTATTCTATATATATTATTCACACACCTGTCTAATTTTGGAAGTTTTCTCCCTAAGCATTTTTTTAAGTTCTGCAAGTTCTATGCCTTGTAATTTTGGTTTTCCTGAAGGACCCAACTCTATTTCCTCAGTTTTGAGTTTTTTCTTAGGGGAAGGATCAATTTCTGTTATACCCTCGGTGTTTATCGTGCACACAATATCTTCCTGAGCATCAGGATGTTCAGTTTTATTGTTTTTGTTTTTCTGTCTATCGTATTCATTAAGTTTAACTATATCTAACAATGCAGCCATTTTTTTCTTTTTATTTTCGATTCTCTGTTTTCTCTTTACACTTATTTCTATATCTCCAGTCATACTCTTTCCATAAATAAGCCAATAACTGAAAAAAAATAATGTCATTGATAAGCAAATTAGAATTAGCAAACTAAGCAATGATTAACTTGCATAAGATGCATAAAACTGATAAGGGTCTCTTACCAAAAAGTTATACTAGATATTAGAATAATGTATAGTGATAAAAAAGTTCTGGTCACATTAAAAATAATTTTTAGATGGTCTCGTAACATGCCCTGCTTTGTTTTGCAAAATTTTAAATGTTATTAAGACAGAAATTAAGGTTATTCAACTAATTATGACGGGAGTTGTCTAGATTTTTGCCTTACCATATTAATGATTTTAATAACTACATGCTGAGCATAAATTACCCAGAAAAATAATATTATAAACTAATTCTTCAAATAAATAGTAAGGAATAACAATTTTAAAACTTTATAAAATGTTTATACAAATAAAAAAACAAGCACTTTACACTGTAAATATCTTAGGTTAGAAAATGAATATGAAGCGTAGACTCTATCAAAGACCTACGGGAATTCATTAGAACTACTAATATCATTGTTTAACAAAAACATCAATTATTCTAAAATATTTTGAATTTTCTTACTAGAGTTTTCAAGAGCAATTAGTAGTAATAATAACCGTTGATTAATATAGTATTACTGTTAATTTAAAATATATTAATCATATAAATATATGATTCAATTCTTTGAAAGTGGGAGTTTGTCTTGCTTGATGCAGCAAGTGTCATTAAAATTATTCTAACTTCTAACCTAACTTTTCATCCTTTTGACGTTTATGTTTTGGGCCACGTAAATATTTTTAAAATAGGATTGAAATGGCCCCACACCAAGAAATAGACGAGCTCTTTGATGTAAAAGTTCATTTTTACATTGGAAATTATCAGCAGTGCATTAACGAGGCTGCCAAAATACGAAAGGTACGAATTCTAGATCATTATTCGTTCTGAACGCATCTAACCGCCTAACTTTTTTTAGCCATCGTCTCCCGAGATAGCTATTCAGCGAGATATCTTTACTTATCGGTCTTACATCGCTCAGAATAAGTTTCTTGTAGTTTTGGATGAAATCAATCCTAATTCACCCTCAGAAATTCAACCTTTGAAGATTCTTGCCGAATATCTGCATGGAAAATCGAACAAATCGACACTACTGGATCAACTAAACCAGAAAATTGACACGACCGCTCATAACGAAACGTTGGTTATCGTTGCTGGAACCATTTTTATCAACGAAGGCAATTTTGATGGGGCCTATAGATATTTACATGCTTCAGAAAGCTTGGAATGTATGGCTCTGATAATTGAAATCTTACTAAAGTTGGACAGGATCGATTTGGCGTTGAAAAAACTGAAAGAAATGCAAGAAAAAGACGATGATGCTATTTTAACTCAACTGGCACAAGCTTGGGTTCATAGTTCTATGGTAATTTACATTTTTATTCTATTGTATTAAAATTAATAAACTTTTGTTTATAGGGAGGTGAAAAACTACAAGATGCCTATTATATCTATCAGGAACTGGTTGATAAATATGGTTCAACGCCTCTTTTACTGAATGGTCAAGCTGTAACTTTTCTGGGACAAGGGAAATATGAAGAAGCTGAAGCAGCACTTCAGGAAGCTTTAACCAAAGACTCTAAGAATGCAGATACTTTAATAAACCTCATTACATTGCAAAGGCATTTGGAAAAAGGACCTGAAGTATATTTTCTTTGCATATATAAGTACTAAAAATGTTTTAACTCACGTATTTTGCAGTTTGCAAATAGGTATTTGTCACAGTTGAAAGATGCCCATCCAGAACATGCCTTTATAAAGGACTTAAAGCAAAAAGAGAGTGATTTTGCAAGGATATGTCAACAGTATGGGCCATCCAACACAGCCATTCCTGCTTAGAGTTAAGATTTTTGTTAATGTATTATTAAAATAAAATTGTATCTACTTTGTAATAAAAATAGTTTTAATCCAAAATACCTACATAGATTTTTTATTTTGAAAATATCAGTTTTTATTAATTAAGATTAGACATCTCTTTTGTGAAACATTTGTCATTCTTTTTAATCATACACATCTGAATGTATGTAAAATAATTAGAAACAATATAGTCATTCATATACAGGGTTATTCACCTCATACGACACGGAATATTGTAGCCATATGAATAGATTTTTAGAAATTGTGAGTAATGGGTTCGTTGGAGGACTATTAAAGCTACAATTTAAAATTATTTTCACAAGGTATAGAGTGTTCCAAATAAAGAAAAAATATCAAAGTTGTATTTTTTTAATTGGAACACCCTGTATATTATTACATTTTTAGTTTTTACAATTAAAATAAAGGTAAATTTGATTAAGGTTTACCGCACTTTAATCTTACCGTTTTTGAAATATTTACCATTTTGTGAAAATGTAGTAGCTATCAATTTTAATTCTTCATTTCTCTAGACGTATTTAAGTTTTTAAAACCAAATATTGTGCTGACGTTTTTCTATTTACTAAATTTTATCAGAGATTTTATGTAGTACTAATAAAAATAATGCTACTTTATACAGAGTATCTAAAACTTTATATTAAAAAATAATTACTAGCTTATTTAAACGGCATTAACTTGTTTAATTTAAATGGAACTCCCTGTATATTTTACGTAAATTAGATGCATAATTTAATTGTCTATTAAATTGTATTGAACCATTTTTTACCTATCTCTTCAAGTTTTCGTAGAAAATGCATTTTTATATAATTTAGACCTCATTTATCAAGCAACAATTGTACAAAATGTACAGGTTCTAAAACCGACAATATATTACTATCCCATTTGTATACAAAAACAAAATTATTTAAATCTGTGTAAAAGAGTAACCAATTAAATATACCGCTATTATTTCCGCCCGAATATTAATTAATTACATACTTAATTGCGTTAGTTAATTAAATTGTTCTAAATAAATGTGGATTTGAATCAGAAATCAACATAATAATAAGCTATGAATATGAACGTCGGTGTTATAAATAAGCATTCGTCAAAAAGTGAAATAAAATTAATAAGGTGTTACTTTTTACCACATTGTGTAATACACATACAAAATTCAGTTTTTTTAATATTTGGAACAAAATTATTAATCAACGCAAACAGTCAATTAATGTAGTTCGAATACTGGAATCATATTAATTGGTCCTCTCCAAAATTAAAAGGTATATGGGTATTTCGCCACTGCAAGAAAATCTACAAAGTAAAATAGTTATTTTTTGTAAACACTGCTGCGTTATAATCCAACGGAAACTACTTGTCAGTAGTTATATAGGTGGTAAATAACTATTTTATTTTGTAGATTTTTTTATAAATTGTTCCCCTTTTACAAATACTTAAACATTTTTTTTATTATTTTTTTAATGAAATAAGCGAACTATAGAGACAATATTAGTATCTATATACTCTTCGAAAATTTGTTACATCTTTAAAAATAATCTAAAATGTCAATGTTCCATGGATACATTGATAAATGATGTCTAAATTATAAGAAAATGCATTTTTTACGAAAACTTGAAGGGATAGGTAAAGAATGGTATAATTAAATTTGAGAGGCAATTAAATTGTGCATCTCATTCTAGTAAAATAAAGAGGGTGTTCCATTTAAATTAAACAAGTTATTGCCGTTTAAAGTTTTGAAAAAAATAAATAAAAGTAATTATTTAAAATAAATTTTTAGACGATCTGTATAAGGTTGTATTATTTTTATTATTGCTACACAAAATTTAGTAAAAATAAAAACTTCAGTACAATATTTGGTTTTAAAAACATAAATATACGTATAGAAAAATAAAGCATTAAAACTGTTACTGTATATTTTCACAAAATCGTAAATATTTCAAAAAACGGTACGATAAAAGTGCGGTAAACATTAATCAAGATCTTTATTTTAATTGTAGAAACTAAAAATGTAATATATGTTCCATTTAAAAAAGGTGTTCCATTTATAAATACAACTATGACATTTTATTTGTATACTTGGGACACTCTGTACCTTTTGAAATTAATTTTAAATTGTAGCTTTAGTAGTCCTCCAACGATTCCGCTACTCACAATAATTTCTAAAAAGCTAATCGTCTGGCTACACTACTCCATGTCGTATGAGTGAATAACCCTGTATATACTTATTTTAACATATCTTTTTTTCTTGTTAATGAGAACACTTTGAAATTATTTAAGAAAAAACATTAACTTTAATAAAATAGAATTTGATATTACTTTAACCTTGTTAATTAATAAATTAATGAAATATATATAGTTCAATATTTATAATTAACGTAAGTTAATCGTAATTAAGTTGCCAATTTTTGAATTATTTATTAGATACCTACTTCCATAATGATGGTTCATGATATTGAGGTAGATTATATTGAAAATTAAAGATAAATATCCATTGTCATATAATGGTAAAGGTATATAATGTCGTAATAAAAAAGTCTTTGCTTAAAAATAGAAGGAGAATATTGAAGATATTAGTGATAAACATTGATTCTTAATTATGGCATTTGGAACAGTGAATTTTCCGGTCAATAATTTTCCTTCAGTATTATTTTGTCCGTAAATTCAACCAGAACAACGCCGGTTTGTAATATTGTCTATCATTATATTTTAGTACGTTCGAAGCAATAATTGCTCTAGTTTAAATAATGCTGCGAAACCAACAAAAATCGATGGGATTTAAATATTTATATTTGTTTCCTTATATTCTAACCATTGGATTGCTAATAACTGTTCTAATAACGTAAGTATTGTCATAATAAAATATAATATACAGTATGTCTCTGGATTGTCTTTAAATGAGGAAAAAATATTATTATGGGTATTTTGAGAAAAATGCATTCTTCATAAGACTCTTTGCATGTTCTAAAATGGTTAATCTCGTTTATAATTTTCTAAATTTCCATACCGTTTTAGAGATTACTTATTAGAAAAAAACATGAAAATATAATTGAATTTTTCAAAGTCCTAATCATCAAAAGGCGTTTTCTATGGTAATATAATATCGATTTAATTCTTTGACAGATGGCTAATTTTGATTAAGGCCATATTTTCTACTGCTTTTAAAGGATCATATTTTCCAGTAATTGTTATTACCCTTTCCATAGCATTGAACTATAGTTATTTTTATAAAAGACGATAAAATGCATGGTATTTTATCATCGACCGAAAAGATTAAAAGATACGAGCGATGAAATCGCGAGTGAATTAATTTCGAGAGACGATAATGCAATTTTATCGTCGTGTATAAAACAATATTTTTTACATAGCGTTTTAAAAAATATTCAGAAATTATTATTTCAAGGAATTTATTACGAGTAGAAAAAATATTGTGCTGAGTTGGCATTGGTTTCTATGTAATTTGACAAATAAATAAAGCTGTCTTTTTAGTTGTCAGTTTTGAGTCAATATTGTTTAATTCTCTTTCGTGTCGATTGCTGATTGAACTGGAGCCAGAAATGGCTCAAAACGAAATAAGTAAATTACGGACAGATATTCAGGCTGAGGCGACAAACGCCATATCCAAACTAGGTACTTCCATTTAAATCCCGAATAACTTATGAAAAGGAATACAAAAATTTTCAAAAATGGAAGCAATTAAAAAACGTGCAAGAAGAAATGCAGTTTTTAACCTATCCTCGCTGTTAAAGTATCATTTAATCTACCCTTGCGGTTAAAGTACTATTTTATCCAAGTATTTTATCTACTATTCATACTACTATTTTTGATAGATATAAGCATTGCCTGGAAACTTATATGGTGAAATTTTGATTAAATAATTTAGTAAGTAAATTTCACGGTATGTCGCTAATGGCAGGAAAAATAATTTTTAGAGGTTACTAGTTTATTTGGTTGCCTGTGATATGCATATACAGGGTGTTTCCTAATTAATCTAAAAAATAAAAAATCGTTAGAAAACGAATTAAGGCGGGCTCTTAATAAGTATATATTTTTTTTCTCGACAACCGTTTGATGAACAAGAAAAACACAAAAGATCAATTTTGTTGAAAACGGATGGCCAGTCAAGAAAAAATATATTTTCTTTAAAAAAGCAGTGGTGTACCATTTATGTTAAGCAAAAAAATCGATTTTTTTTTACATTTTTACCACCCTGTAGATCAGAAAGGAAGTACTTTAGACCTAATGGTTATATAAAAATAGTTTTAAGAACACATGAGGAATCACACCATATTTTTTTAGACTAATTCGAAAACACCCTGTATATTGTCAACTTGACAATGACTGCTAATTAATCAAAAAATACCTTTTCAGTGAAAAAAGCCTGATTTTCACAGAAAAAATTTTCATTTTTATTGAATTTGGGCCAGCGTTTGCAAATACCGGTTTGTTTTTAATTTTCTATCGATCTAAATTTTAAATATCATAGATTGTTACTATCAAAGAATGAAAACGAAATTATATTACCGTAGAAACGCCTTTCGATTTTTAGGACTTTAAAAAATTCAACCATTATTTCATTTTTTTACTAATTTTCTCTAAAACTGTATGGAAATTTGGAAAAGTATAAAAGATATTAACCATTATAGAACAAGCAAAAATCTTTATAAAAAATCTACTTTTCTTGTAATGTCAATAATAAAAAAGTTTTTCCTCTTGTAAAGACAATCCGGGGACATATCGTATATCAATACCGCATACGTAAAGTATTCAATTCAATTCAATTCAATTCAATTCAAAATGTCTTTATTAGGTTTATAAACAATTGTATAAAAATTAAAATAATAACGATGGCGACGTTCACGTTTGTGCTCTTCCACGCAACCATCAAAAAAAAAATATGTAAGAAAAGAGTAGTAAAATAAATAATCAAGTTATTACAGGGTGACTAAGTTTTAATATCTGTTTTTATTATTATTATATTAGAAAATATAATATTTTATTATTTAATATGAATTTTGGTTTCCTAGGTATATAATGTCAACTACTAGTCAACATGTAAAGCCAGTTTTTCCATATATCAGTGACACAGGCACATGGCCACCAGAAAGCTGTATATTTTCTTTGATGCTTTTCATATTTTCGATAATAAGTAAGCCATATGTAATTAAAGTTTTAAATGTTCTCTTAATCATATAAATTGTTGCTACATACGATTATTGATAGGTATTTTTTAACAAAAAACAGAAAAACTTGCACTGTTTTCCCAGGATACAAAATACGATTTCCACTACTTAAAAGTGCTAACATATCAGCTTAAATTAAGACTAGATTAAACACATTCAAGAGAATAAATTTTACATTAAAAAAATTGAGATTTTTTATTTTTTTTTTAAATATAATATACAGAGTGAGTCTTAAATAACTGCAAATATTTTTAGGGGTAGTATACTTCCACCCCAGAAATACCATTATATAGTTTTTTCCCGAAAAAATTTGGAATTTTCTGAAAAAAAAATTGGATTTTTTTAGTTTTTAGTTAAAAAACATAATTTCTTGATAATATGGAAACATAAGTAGTAGATTAAATTTACAAGAAAAAAAAAAAACAGAAAAGATCTAGTGGTTTTCAAAATTTAAGCAAAAAACTATTTTTTGGAAATTTTCGAAATAAAATAACTGGGTTATTTTGGACTTATTTGAAAACGGTAAAAGAAAATATGTTTCTTTTGTCGCGATCTACCAGCCCTGAAAATATTTGCACTTATTTAGAGGCTCACCCTGTGTAGCATTCTATTTATAAAAATTAATAACTATTTAGTTACAACACAACATACTATTTTTAAATATAGGAATAGAGAAATATCGAATCTTTTATACAGGGTGGTCCGAACTGAATGCCAGAAACTTCCGTAGCATATTCTGCAGATAAAAATAATTAAAAAAGTTTTTATACACGTATGTCCTAAAATGCTTAGTTTTGGAGATATAAGGTGTAGAAGTTTCATTTTTATTTCAATTTTTTTCAAATAATTCCTGAAGTAATGTTAATATTTGAATAAAAATCGGTGTCTGGGAATATTCTGACAAGAGAAATTTGATTTTGATGTCAATATAATTCCTACTTGCAAAGAGCGCCAGCAACATTTTTTTAACTGGTTTGCAGAGAAATCACTTTTCGTCCGTACCTGTATAAAACTACTGAGTAAAAAAATATACATTTACGACGTTTTTTACTTAGAAAAAGTCTCTTGGTAAAAGTCGCTGCGAGTAATGGTTCTCAAGATATTTTGAATTCAAATTATCAATATACCTGTCGTCAATGACATAAATTAAACATGTTTACAAAATAGTTATGAGACTGGAATCAATTTGAAATGTTTTTGTGTCAAAAGTTCAACAGAAACTGTTTTATCATCATTTTTTCGAAGAAAAATTTATGACTAATTTAAAAAAATAAAAAGTTCTCATATTTATCATTTCGGTCAAATAACTATCTACTCGGCGTGTTTATTTTTTGTCAATAATGACATGCATTGACTATTTCCATTCTAAATATGTTCAGAACGGTTGCTCGTGGCGATTTTTACCAAGAGACATTTTTTACGTAAAAGATCACGGAAATGTATATTTTTTCACTCGGTGGTTTTAAACAGGTACGGACGAAAAGTTATTACTCTTCAAAACAGTTAAAACTTTTGAATAAGAATACTAAGGAAGGAGCATATCAAAAATCTTAGGTACACCGCGATGGGCCTCAAATATGGCCGACTTAAATTCCGGTTTATCAGTGTCGTTCTAATTTTATTTAAAAAATGTAAAACTATGATGTAGGGTAGACGTAAGGTAGACTCAATAATTTGTTGTTTTATTTTACGTTGTGAATAAATGTTGGTAGTTATTAAAATTGTTATAAAAATATATAATTCTAATAAAAATAGATAAGTTATAATAAGTATTTATTAACACAAACATCCGATACGCTACTGAAGCAGGTAAGTCAAATTAACGTATCTAAATTCTTTGATATCTAATCTTTGACAAGTAATAAATAAAAAGCTAAAATGCAAGGAAAATATATAATTTAGTTAATTTAAGTGAATTTCATAAATGATCGGTTTTACTACACGTATGTATATTATATAGGCACTTACTAGCGAAAAGGTGTTCCATTATTTCACTGAATTTTTGCGCAGATCTACCGCACGCTACACAACCAACTATTTTAGAGTCTTTTTCGATAAATCGCGATAGTGTCACTGTTAATTTAAGTTCTGCCACAATTTCCATCTAGATTTACTATCTTTATACAACTATCAGTAGTAGACTAAACAATAAATAACATAAAATAAGCTCCGTAAAGACTGACAAATCCACAAAATTTCAAATCAAATTCAAATGTGTCAAATGAATCGTCATACAGAACTGTCAAGGATCCCCACCCTAGAGAGCTTTTATGGTGGCTTTTCCGCCCACCATGCATGAATACATGCATAGCATTATGCTCCTTCCTCAGTCTTCTTATTCAAAAGTTAAAACACATGTAGGTAGCGCCCCCAACAAATAGGAGTCATATTGACATCAAAATCAAATTTCTCATGTCAAAAAAACTCCCAGACACCAATTTTAAATACAAATATTGACGTTACTTCAGAAATTATTTGGCAAAAATTGAAATAAATATGAAATTTCTATACCCTGTATCTTCAAAACTAAGCTTTCTAGAACATACATTTATACGAATTTTTATCTGCAGAATATGCTACCGATGTTTCCGAAATACAGTTCGGACCACCCTGTATATGGAGATTTTTTCTCACCAAATATATTAAAAAAAATATGTTATGACAAGGAATGAATAAAATAAATTTATAATTTATATTTCAGTGGGCGTTCTCTATTGTGTACGGTTCAAACAAGTCCAAATATTTTGCGAGAACCTGCCGGAAAAAACGAAAACTTCAATTTTAAAACTGAACAAGACATCTCTTTGGTTCGGCTTTGCTTCTTGCTTCGGCCTGGTGTTGGTAGCAAGTTTCCAAGAAACGAATTTAATGTGGGTTCACATGCTGGGTGCCGGGAACGTGTATGGTGGAGGTTGTATTTACCAATGGCTACAGGTAGTAATAGTAAAATGCACGACAATTTATTTCTGGAGAACGTTACACGAGAACATATGCTCGAGAATCATCGCGAACTTAAAGATCTACTGTGCCCCCCTTCCTTGATTTTCTTGTTGTAGGGGTGACAGGGTATTTCCCATCCTTCTCTGACAACAGATGCTCTTCCTCCGAGGAGTGGACATCTACCTCCTACGAGGGTATACACTTTCACGTTTGGGGTTTGGCCCTCCGTGCCCGTTTATCTCAAAATGTCAATAATAAAAAAGTTTTTTCTCTCGCAAAGACAATTCGGGGAGCATATTTTTAAATAACGTCCATGATCGCGATTCGCTTCCAATTTCGCCTAGTAAATAGCACCCCTGATTCCAAATTTTAATTGCCTTAACTCCTCTTATAAACAGCAGACGATATCGCGAAATTTGTTGATTGGTTGCTCGTACAAGAGTAATTACTCAAAACAAATTAACTTAAAAAAAAAACAGATTATAAATCGAAACCAAAAAATGGCTGAAATGAATAAAGTTACAGAATATTCCAAATTTCCATCTTTCATTCATCCATTCCAAATTACTTCGAAAATTTAAAATAAAAACTACACTTTGTGTAGTTTCTTTGTAGGTAAAAATTTGACTTTTTCTAGTACAAGAAGATCAAGGAGATTGTAACTTAGTTCCTTCTTGAATATTTTTTATAGTTAAGGACACATCTTTTTTTTAAGAAAAGTGAGGTAGGTATTAGACATTTATATTGAGTTCTATGGAAAATATATTATATCTCTATTTTGTTTTAAGTAATTTGCATACGCATGTAAGTTGGATGAACATAAAATAGTGTCATCTGGGAATCTATGTTCTGTTGATTTCTCGACACGATTTTAGGGTTTACTTTATAGTCCCCTATAATAATCGAAATTTTTATGAATAACAGCACGTTAACGTGTATTTTTCATACGATCATCGAAATTATTATTGGAAGGGGGTGGCCACTTGAGAAAAAAACTTATTTTTAGCTCGTTTAATTTTGCGTTGACAAACAAAATTTGCGATCCTGAATGCTGATTACGAGCAACCCATTATTACATTTCGATATCGTATGGTGTTTTTAAGAGGTATTAAGGCAGTTAAAATCTGGAATCACGGATGCTATTTACCAGACGGATTTGCGATATCGTATGCTGTTTACGCGGTATCGTTCGGCCTAGAACCGAATCGCGATCAAGGACGTCGTTTAAAAATATTTATGCATCTGGGGACATTCTGTATAGATAGAAGACACGTCAAGTTTGATGTAAAAAGAGATAAATAATATATTTATTTTGTTTTAGACATTTTTATCTTGGAATTTAAACCCTCAAGGACAGAAGACAAAGACGATAAATATCGTCAGAGTAATATTGACCTCGATATCGACCATCACCTACATAATTTGCAACATTTTTGGCACCTTGTCTTTGTTAAAATTTTCAGGTAAAAAAATAATCTAAATTAAAAGCTCCAACTTCCGAAGGGTATCTCACTTGGATAAAAAATGCCAAGATTTACTGCCAAGCGACTGTCTATGTCTGCTATATATTTATTATAATCGATTGATGCCAGCAACTGCTAAGAAAATATAAATGTAATTCCAACAGAGACACCCCTCGACAATAATTTATAAACAAAATATAAACGTTTTTGCTTATCCAGATCAGAGCTGCAAGCTCACAGAAAGTTTTTTTTGACTTAAATCTTTTTAATGACTTAAGTCATTTGATTTTAAGTCATTTTTTGATAGTTGACTTAAGATTTAAGATTTAAGTCTTCCCTAAAAAGCAGTGGCGCATCTAGAGATTGAGTCTGGGAGGGGTGGTGTGAATATTCAAAAAAGTACTAAATTTGAATTAAATTTTTGTTGGAAGAGATTGTAACTGTGGAAAAAATCTACTTAGATTGGTTTGGATATTTTGTTTTAATTCGTATTAATAACTTTTTAGTAACAATTTTATTTTATACCAAATTTCATCTTATTAATTAATTTCTTTCTGGGAAGGGTAATTACCCCCATTACCCCTCCCGTATATACGCCCCTCTACAATTTCCTGTTTCACAATGTACCGTTTGTGTCTGGGAAGGGTTCATAGTTTCATAGTTGTCGATTTTCGAAAGAAATCAGTACATATATATTACTTCGTATATATTTTTCAATATATTGATTTTATGGAAAGCACTGTTCATTAAAATCAAAAAGAAATCAGTACATACAGGGTGACCCATCGAAAACGTTCCGCAAGGCATAACGACCGGGGTATTTTTTTTTTCAGAAAATTCAAAAACACGTCAATTTTGTTTGTGAGGGGGACAACTTTTGCCCCAAAAATGATTGCAAAATCTTCAACCCTCTGAGCGGGGGTATCATCCCCCAATTTTTTTTTCAAATGGGAAGGGGGATCAAGTGGTACCGCAATGAAAAGGGCTTTCTATTATCTATACTTTCCCGCTTCGTAATCGAACTTTATTTTAAAAATAATGAATCTGGCAATCGGGTTGCGCAGATATTCAACGAACGTCATCCTGACAAACACCTTTATGGCAAAATTGTTCGCGAGTTAGTAGCAAAATTTCGCGAAACTGGTTCCCTTATGAATAAAAAGAGGCAGAGGGAAAATCCTGTAGTAAATGAAGCTATGGAGGTATTCGTATTGCAAGTTGCCATGGATAGTACGCTGAGTACAAGAAAATTAGCCAATGAGACCGGCGTGAATCGTACAAGTGTCCAAAGGATATTAAAACACAAGTTCCACCCGTACAAAATTCAGTTGGTACAAGAACACAACGAAGACGATTTTGATCGTCGCTTGCAATTTTGTGAAACAAAAAATGTACTTAAATTGAATTCTGGTTGTCTTGACTTGAGGGTAATCATCTTGCAGATCATCACGATTTAAATCAAAAATGGAGACTTAATTTATAAAAACGATTTTAATAACGTTATATTGATTTAAGTCTTAACAAAAATGACTTGACTTCAAATAAAATGATTTAAGTCAAAGACTTAAGACTTAAATCATTTGAACTTTATTTTGAATTTGACTAAAAATTTAAATCGTTTTGATTTTAGAAATAACTGCAGATTGAAAAAAGACTTAAGTTTTTTTAAAACTGACTTGTTGCAGTTCTGATCCAGATTAGGAAATTTACGTTTCAAAATGCCAGAATAATAGCAGTATCCGGATTACTGAAGATATACTGTATTTGGAAATTTTTTCTATTTTTTTATTTGCAAAATTGGTAAACATTGCCACACTTTGACCTACTTCGTATCTCAGAAATATCCCAATAGTAATCATCGAAATTTGGGTCACCTTGTACAGTAAAATTACATCTGAATATTAAGACAGAAATAATATTAAGGTAGAAGGTGATTTCCAACCAGTGATAATTTTTTAGTCGGAATGCCTGAAAGTATCCTTTACTTACAATTTTGTTTGCCATAAGAAAAATTAACTTAAAAAATATATTTTAGGAGATAATATAACACTATGGGATGCTAACGATGGTGGTTACAAGTTCCACTTAACCAGTACCATAACCGAATGGATTCTGACAGCAGCATCCATGAGCTTCTTTTATACTTTTACCAAGGATCTGAAAGAAATTGTTGTTTGCGAGATACTCATGATACAAATGGCTTAGTTTTCTTTAACTTTAACTAAGTAAATATTTAAAATATTAAAGCACTGAATTTCTATTTCGCCACTGAAAGAGAAATCTAAATAATAAAGATGTTATTATTTAGCATTATAGCTTGTCAGTGACCTCCCGTCTTAAGAAGCGGGAGGAGATTTTTCCTTTTTTTAAACGGTTTTATTTAGCTCGACCCGTACGGTATTTATTTATTTGTTTGGGTCGAAATTAGAAATTGAAATTTAAGTACCTTCCTGTTGTCAGATTGATCTGAAATTTGGTACACACCTTTAGTTCCGATGACAATAAAATATAGTAATATCAATAACATTGTAAATCTAAGATGGCCGCCGGTACAAAATGGCGGATTTCATATTTTTCCACAACCCCCTCAATATGGGTATGAAATGAAAGGGCTACACTAGTAGAATACTGTGATTATGACAAAATTTAAAATCCAAGATGGACGTCGTTACAAAATGGCGTATTAGATGAGGGCATGAATAGTCGTGTCCAGAACAGTTGGGTCCAAGATTGTATGACGTTAGAAGGACAGATAAAAAAAAATAGGTGATTAGATGTACCTACGTAGTTCGCAGTAGCTTTACCACCCAAGTTAAGGTAATAGGTTAAAAGGTGCTGAGGACTGTATGGCATTAGGGTGGCTAAAAATGTAATGTCGCAAGCGTTTTCCCCTCAAGATTGGGCGCCTCTTGTTGTATATTATAGCCTTGCCCCTCTACTGGACCTCTGGGGGGTCGACCGTTAAAATGTCCATTACTCGTGTGAACAACATGGAAACAATAAATAAAAAAACAAACAAAAATAAAAACGAAACTGCTACATAACGAAAAAGAAGGCTCGAAAAGGCGAAAGAAAAGTATAGAACGAAACGTGCAAAAGAAAGTGAAAATGAAACCTATAGTCGACTACAGAAACGAAGAGAACGGTTAGCAACAGAAACACCTGAGCAACATGATGCCAGGTTAATAGCACAACGTGAGAATCAAAGGCAGCTGGTAGAGTCAGAAACACCTGAGCGTCATGAGTCCAGGCTAGCATCACAACGTGACAGACAGAGAGAGTTGTTAGCGGCAGAAACACCTGAGCGTCATAGTCTAGGCTAGCATCAGAACGCGACAGACCGAGAGAGTTGTTAGCGTCAGAAACACCTGAGCGTCAGATTGTACTAAATTATCAGGTAAAAAACCATGTAATAATGATGCACTAAATGAATTAAATATAATGAGGAATATTCGGTAGGCATTTCCGTTAAATACTAAAAACTAGAAAATAAAAAATCGGTAAAAAAACTTTTAAGTTAAACGGTTTTATATTATGTGCACTGAAAACTAGAAAATAATAATAACAATTAGGTATTTTGAACATCTAGTTCAGAAATATTTTAGTACTAGGCAGAATAGCTTTTAGGCATATTAGACTAAAATAAAAACGTGGGGCTGAAATCCTACCTATGGCAAAGCATATCTTTATACTTTGGTAGATCATGAGCTCGGCGTTCGCTGGTGAAGCCGCCACGGCTGGTTATTGATTGTCAAAATCTCCAGTTACGATTATAGTAAATCGATGCAATCCACACTTAGTATAGAAGAAAGTATTACAGCAATAGTTAATGCCTAGTACTAAAATATTTCTGAACTAGAAGTTCAAAATACCTAATTGTTATTATTATTTTCTAGTTTTCAGTGCACATAAGATAAAACCGTTTAACTTAAAAGTTTTTTTACCGATTTTTTATTTTCTAGTTTTTAGTATTTAACGGAAATGCCTACCGAATATTCAAATTTAACGGAATGTTATTCAAATTTAACGGAAATTTTTTTTTAACGGAAATGCCTACCGATTTTTTTTTCGAATATATACAGAATTTTTCAAAATTCAATATGGATACATTTTATTGAGCATCAAATTGCGCAACTTTGCCTCCATTTAACGGATCCTGTATCTTTTTGTTTCCGAAATCCCAATGATGAGCGTCGAATTTGAGCCACCCTGTACATATTTTACGTTAGGATTCTACAAAGTAGTGGTTTACAAAAAAACAACTTTTTTTTTTAAATTTCTGTTTTAGTGGCGAAACACCTAGGCTTTTTTTATGGAATAATCCCTTCATAAAGCTGTAGATATTATTTAATTATGTACAACATACGTGTATATTTTAATTAATTTCATTAAATAAATAAATTGAAACATTCAATCTTTTCCTTCGAGAATATTCGATTCCACAAAATTTCTCCCTCATTCTAAAAGCCCAAAAGCGTGTTTTAATTAATACAACCACAGTGGAGCTGCACGGAACACGAATCAATTAAGATTTTACCTAGCAATTAAATTGTGAAATCGAGACCAGCAGCACCGGAAAACGAAAATTAAAACAGCAATCCGACACTTTGGTGGGGGAAGTCCCCGAGGAGGGGCAATTGTCCTGACCCTTAATCATGGATGTTATGAAATTTTTTCCGAATTTGTGGTATACAGAAAGAAAATATTTGTGTGAAAAATTAAAATTGCATTGAAAAATTATGCGGTGAAATATAAGCGGGTCACTCTGTGAATAAAAAAAATAAGCAAGGAATATAATGTTATCCATGTATTTATGCATGGTAGACGGAGGAGATCGTTGACAGTTCTCTTTGACGGTTCAATTGATACATTTGAATTTGATTAGAAATTTTGTGGATTTGGTGACTATACAGGGTAGCGCACCTCATTCGCCTCGGTTGATTATACGAAAACGGAAAGATGTAGAAACAAAATATTTTATGGGTATATGTGGGGAGGCAACGTGCACAATTTAAAATTATTTTGAAATATACAGGGTGTCTCAGAACTAAGATTAATACTAAAGTTATATTTTTTCTTATGGAACACCCGGTATTTTATTTTATTTTTGGATTCTCGGGCCCCAAAAAAAGGCATTTATTATAAGGGTTAAATATGTTTAAAATCATTGGTTTTTGAGATATTTAAAGATATTTAAATATGCATGCTACAAGAGAATTGATTATCAACACCCTGTACATTACTTTTCAGAATTAATTCTTGTGCTGAGTTTAAAGGTAAAGAAATAAACTTTACTAAAAAATGTTATTGTTTCCTTAAATTTATACAGGGGTACCAAAAATTAGTGATTAATTTTACGGATTTATTTTACATAAAAATTTTGTTATTTCAAATGCAACACCCTGTATTTTTTTAAATAAATTGAAGCAGATTCAAATGCCCTTTCAAACTATATTAGGTTTCCTATACCTATCTATCTCAGATTTAAAATAAAAAAGCGATTTTTAAATAAAATGGCAATCAAATGGCTGGTATCGCCATGGAAATTTTCTTTCCGGCTTCAGTATAGCGTATCGGATGTTTATGTTATTAACTAATTGTTATTAACTATCTATTTTTATTAAAATTATATATTTTTATAACAATTTTAATAACTACCAATATTTATTGACAACATAAAATAAAACATATTTTTTCACGTTTTGAATAAAATTAGAACGGCACTGATAAACCGGAATTTAAGTCGGCCATTTTTCGTCCCCATCGTGCTCGACCTAAGTTTTTTGACGCTCCTTCCTTAATCTTTTTATTCAAAGAGTACACTGGAGGTCAAAAAATTATGCATCAAACTTTGGTGGGTGATTCTAGAGATAAAAATAAAACACAAAAATGTGGCGGTATCTGTAACCGAGGCAAAGGACTTTTTTTCATAATCTCAGTGAAATAAGTAAACCGTAATAGATGTTTCTAAAATAGCTGTTGTTACGACGATATTTCGTTAATTACATCTCGTTTTATATTATATTGATATACAGGGTGTCCCAGAAATAAGTGCAAATATTTTAAGAGGTGATAGATCTCGATAAAAGAAACACATTCTCTCTTTATCGTTTTTCAAATAAGTCCAAAATAACGGAGTTATTTTACTTTGAAAATTTCCAAAAAAATGATTTTTTGCTAAAATTTTGAGAACCACTAATTTCTGGATTTTCTTTCTTGTAAATTTAATCTAATACCTATGTTGCCATATTATCAAGAAATTATGTTTTTTAACTAAAAACTTTTCGAATTTTGAAATTTTTTTTTTTGTGAAAAAAGCCTCATAGGCGTGTTTCTGGGGTTGAACTATACTACTAGTTAAAATATTTGCACTTATTTCTGGGACACCCTGTATATTCCACAGAATTAATATTTGAACACGTGTTTATTATATGTATAGTAGATATTTGGGAACAAAACTTTTCACTTAAACTGCAGGAATATAATTACAATATTTTTATGATTTAATTTTATTATAATGAATTATTATTAATATTAACCACAGATAATAATACTATGTAACGTGTGATTTAACCAACTTTTTTCTCTGTGTATCTCAGAATTTCGTTATTTTTTCGTTTAATCTGGATGGTGCATTACCATTGACGTTCCATAACAAATGACGGCAGTAAAAACATCAGCTATACGGTAGAAACGACGGCCATTTTTCATTCCGATCTGCGCAATTTTAATTTTTAGACGATTTTCGAAAGAGGGCGGAGAAGATAATAAAAATGAAAAATAAAAAGTGATATATGATTCAATTAGGTACCTACTATTGTATAGTGGTTTTATTGCAAATGTCTACACAAGTGTTACATGCTTATTCTTAGTCGGTTAATTATTGTATATTATAGTAATTACTATACAGTCAGTGATGTCAACTCGGGGGAAATTTCCCGATTTGTGGGAAATTTCGATATAAGAATTACGAAAAATACTGCTGTTTTAGGTTTAATTTAAAGTATTTAATTTGTTGACATTGATGGACACTTTGAATTTATGAAAGATTCTTAGAGAAATACTGTAAATAGACACACCTTACAAAACAAAGATAACAAAGAATGTCTAAATGGTTAGATAATGTGAAACAATCGTTAAAAGCGTAATATTAAATAACATTTTACTTGAAAGAATATATGATATAAACAAGCATATTATGAATA